GGTGCACGCACTGATAAACTACGTTAATTAAAACTCAATTATTCCATATAAATCATTAAATTATATCTTATAAAACATCAATAAAATAAAGGGTTACAATTCTGGATATTCAAAATTAATCGAAAGAGATATTTAACAAAATTAGATAAATAATTTTATATATGATAAAGTTATTATTATTTAAAAAGAAATAGTATAATTAGAATTATAAATTTTCAAAAAGAATTATAAAATTAATGTAATAGAATATACAAAATTGAAATAAATTGAATAATATATATAGCAAAATTATACAACCTTTATTAATTAATATATCAAATATTGAAAATATCTATATTCAAAAATAACAATCTCTTTTAAGATTATATTTCTTAAAAGATAATTAATAATATTATTACTTATAACTATTATAAAGATATATAATCTTATTATAAAAAACAATAAGAATAACAACTTTCACAATTGATTAATAATCTAAGAATAATATTATTATTATTTGTATTATAAGATTTTAATAAAGAGTATATTTTAATAAATAATGTGTTACTATATGTAAATTCTGAAGAGTTACTATTAAATGAAGGTGGTGTATGAGCCCGGCACTTATCAAAGACACGCCCTTGTATACAATGGGCAATGAGCAATGGGCAATGAATGGTGCATTGCTGACAGATGAGAAATCATTGGCATGTGAGAGAACTTGGTAAAAGCACTTGATGAGACTGTACAAAGTATTCGGCCTATTATCAAGTAACCTGCAACAAATGCATTCTCTGTACCAAAGTACCGCTAGATAAAACAATGGATAAGATGAATTGACGTGAGTAATAAAGCAGTATATAAAAGTCATAGTATATACTTGTTTTGCTGGGAATACAAACCCCCTTGTACTCGCAAACCTCATCCATTCATTCATACTCGTAGTTCTACAAGAAAACCTTCCAACCCTCTCAGACTTCATCGTCACCTACAACATCTGCAACATCCACAACACATAATGACCGGAAAATACTTCTTCAACAAACATCACCTACCACAATTGATGTCTCACATGCCAAGAAAGATCCAATACTCTAATAGGCCCAGATCTATCTATGCTCGCTCAAAAATAATGATTTCGTCTTTACATTCCGCTTCAAAAATAGCTCGGTCGATATTCTCCCGGCTCAATTTGGAATGAACAATCCCCCCCCCCGCCAAGGTGTTTCTCATGAAATCTACAAAGTAGCCTCCCTACCCATCAATCATAAGTAGATAGTAGTAAATTCCTGACTCTTCCCTTCACTTCCATCTGTTTGTCTTTCTGCTACAGCCAGTACTGTTCTTCCTCTCGGCCAAATCACAATGGCTTCTTCATCAGCTCGCAGTTTCCCCTCCATCAAAGCTATCCGAACTTTTGTTGTGGATGGTGTTGGATCTGGGGGAGATTATCACAATGTGAAAGGTGGTCATTGGTAAGTGTGAGCAAAATACACTTTATGACTTGTACTAATTTATCTCAGGTTGATTGATACACCAATTTCCACACCCATGTCAAGATGGGAAAACTACAGAGCTTCAAGAACTAGTTGGGGTATCAATGTGCTAGGCTCATTCTGCGTTGAGATAGAAGGTTCAGATGGCACAATTGGTTTTGCTACAGGATTTGGAGGTAATTGTTGGTATCTCCCGTCTTACTGTTCAACACTCACCATATGTTCGCAGGTCCACCAGCATGTTGGTTAGTTCACCAACATTTCGAAAGATTCCTTATCGGTGCCGATCCTAGAGATACCAACCATCTCTTCGAACAAATGTATAGGGGTTCAATGTTTTATGGTCGAAAGGGTCTCCCAGTTGCTGTCATCTCAGTCATTGATTTGGCGATTTGGGATTTACTCGGAAAGATCAGAGGAGAGCCAGTATACAAGTTGATTGGAGGAGCTACAAGGGAGAGGCTAGACTTTTATTGCACAGGACCAGAACCTACTGCCGCAAAGGCCATGGGATTCTGGGGTGCTAAAGTTCCACTGCCATACTGTCCAGAAGAGGGTCACAAGGGACTCCAAAAGAATGTTGAATTCCTCAGAAAGCATAGAGAAAGTGTGGGCCCTGATTTCCCACTGATGGTCGATTGTTACATGAGTCTCAACGTTCCATACACTATTCAAATTGCTGCAGCTTGCAAAGATTTAAATATCAATTGGTGGGAAGAGTGTTTATCTCCAGATGACACTGATGGATTTGCACAAATCAAACAAGCTCATCCACAACTCAAGTTCACCACGGGCGAGCATGAATACTCGAGATATGGCTTTAGAAAACTTATCGAAGGTCGAAATCTCGATATCATTCAACCCGATGTTATGTGGCTTGGGGGAATGACGGAATTGCTCAAAGTTGCAGCAATGGCAGCCGCTTATGATATTCCCGTGGTACCACATGCAAGTGGACCTTACAGTTACCATTTTGTGGTTTCTCAAACAAATTGCCCATTCCAAGAGTACCTTGCAAACTCACCAGATGGAAAGAGTGTCCTACCCGTCTTTGGAGATTTATTCTTGGATGAACCAATTCCAGTGAAAGGATACCTGGATGTTTCACAACTCGACAAGCCAGGTTTTGGTTTGACCCTCAACCCAGCTGCACGACTTATTCCCGCACAATACCTCTTAACACCAAACCCAGAGAGACCTCTTGGTCAACCAGCAGTTGAGCAAAAGAAGTCTGAAAATCAGGGTGTTGTAAATGGAGTGGTGGAAGAAATTAAAAACTTGTCAAGTTCATAGTTTGAATCATAGCCAATTTGTTTTATTAGCCTTTTAATTTATCTATACAATGCAATGCAATGTTATCTATTTCCGTATGATCATGATCCAAGACTTTTTAGAGTTCCGTTTACAAATTTGCATAAATATAATAATACCTTGTGAGAACATGTGGACGGCCAACTTGCCCCACGTTTTACACACCACTTCGGCTTCGGTGGTCTTTGACTCGAGGACCGAATCGCGGGGTCCTTCCGCTATTGATAAGGGCCTAACTTTTGGAGCTATTGATTCATTTACAACACAACGCCAATTTATACTTAAATTATTTGATACTTCTCACATACGACCTAGGTACTTGTTGAAGTCGCTTTGCATCTACTCTTTATATTACACCAATTGACATACTCTACCATCTTCAAAGGAAAACAATCATTCCATACACTCATCACGAGCTTTCTTCCTCAGATACCCCGCCATTTCAGTGAACAACATAATATTCATTTCATCCTACATATACGTATAGACTCTACATATCTACAGAGTTTAAAGCACTACATCCAAACCATGAGTCTCAAAGGCGTGCACCTTCTCGCCGGTAAAACCGCTGCTATAACCGGTGGAACCACAGGAAGTTCGTTCTCCCAATCGCCCAAAGCCCCCTTCCTTACACACCTCAACTAACACTATTCGTTCCCCTGTAGTCGGCCGTGCAATCGCTCTCCTTTATCTTCGTCAAGGCTGTAATGTAGCAGTCAATCATCTCGGTCTCGACTCCGATATCCCACATCTCGAATCGCTGCACGCGGAAGCCAAAGCTCTGGCGCGAGAAAATGACAAGGCGGGGAAATTGTTAGATGTACCAGGAGATGTTAGTAAACCGGAGACGGGGAAGGAGTTGGTGGAGAAGGCAGTGGGGAAATGGGGACGATTGGATGTTTTTGTTAGTAATGCGGGAGTTTGTCGGTTTGCGGAGTTTTTGGAGTGAGTTTTTTTGATTTATTTGTTTGTTTTTTCGGGAGATCTGGGCCGAGATAAAAAGGGGAAAGAAGGAGGGGAAAGTGAAGAAAAAGAAATTGACAAATCAAATAGACTAGAGCCCGATCTCTTTTCCTCCACCGTCCGCACCAATCTCGACGGCGCCTTCTACACCTCCCAAGCCGCCGCCCGTCAAATGTCCTCTCAATCTCCTCCCGGCGGCTCCATCATCGCCATTTCCTCCATCTCTGCCCTCGTAGGCGGTGCACAACAAACCCATTACACACCCACCAAAGCCGGTGTTCTATCACTCATGCAAAGTATGGCGTGTGCGCTGGGTAAACACGGTATTAGATGCAATGCGCTCTTACCCGGAACAATCAGGACGCAATTAAATGAGGAGGATTTGAAAGATGAGGAGAAGAGGAAATATATGGAAGGAAGGATTCCGTTGGGGAGAACGGGAGTTCCAGGAGATTTGGCAGGGCCGGCGGTATTTTTGGCAAGCGAGGAGTTGAGTGGGTATGTGAATGGGAGTGGGCTTTTGGTGGATGGAGGGCTGTTTGTTAATTTGCAGTGAGGGGGTGTGAGGAGGGGAGAATAAATGTACATAGATAGATTAGATACTCGGACTCGGATCGATTCTCGAAAGGTCGAGAAACTCTTGTATTTCACAGTATTGGATATAGTATGCTTCTCTCGCAGAGGTGAAAAGTTTGACTGACTTCTTTCGGGTATCAGATACTCTTATATATTGATTGTTTTCAGCATGCTCAATAGATATTTGTTTCACAACTACTCGTTGGTAGATAAAAGCGTCCAAATTATCAATAGGACAAAGATGAAAGTTCACTGGGCTCCTGGATCCATATAAATTACCGGAGGATGATTGAAATTTCATCAATTGCAAGATGAATGAGTTCGCTTCCGGCGACTGTTTCCAAGACTCGCTTTAATCAGCTTTGCTACCGGATTCCCGCGGCGGTACGAGATTTGTTTACGCGAGGGAAAGCATATTAGCATGTTACTGCGGATTTTGTCATTTCGTTCCTTGTAGATACTAGAGAGTGTGTGGTGGATGTCTATACTACTGTACTGAGTCGTGTTTGGTTGATTGGAGCGGGTATTTTGGGATCGGGTTTTTTGGCTGTGTTTTTTTGGTGAGGGATATCATTTTGAGGAGTGAATTGAATACGGAGTGTGATCTGGCGGGTAGAAATAAAGAAAGTTTGGAAAGGTAGTGTTGATGATGGAGATGAGAACTAGGTCATTATGCCACCTGCAGAAATCGGAAGTGTTGCAGTCGCTTAAGAGAGGGATTGAAAAATAATGTCGGCCATCATATCAATGGAACTTTTAGTAAAGCACCTTTTGAAGCCTTGGCCAGATACTCAAGCTGTATTATTGAAATTTGTAATAGACTCATTGATTGTTGAAGGAAATAGAAAAAAATATGCGAGGTGCTTTTGTGTTTTAGATTATTTCATGAGTCAAAGAGAGCTGAATTCTTGCTGAACACGGCATAATTCAAACGTGTTTTCCTTCAATGGACTTCTTCTACCAAATCTCCTGCACCACGCGCTTCCAGTGTCTCTTGAATACGCTGACTCGGGAGCCATCGTTCAGCCGGAGTAACCCACCAAGAAATCAACGCCAATATAGTTGTCGCAGCCATGATCACAGGCGCATAATTGAGCGTATTTGCTTCTACAGGCCAAACATACGGCGAATACAAAACCGCTACCACCCACGCATTCCACAGCACGGAAATTGCCTGAAACGGCTTACTAAGTCTACCTAGACTCCAAGCCGGTTTTGGAAAGGTCTTGGGCGTGCAGAAAAGACGTCCGAGACATATGAGACCGTAGGCAGCGGCTGATGGTACTCCCGCTGCGGAGACTAGGGAGGTGAATGCTACAGCCGAGGGTAGGATGGTACAGGTTATGATGGCTGATACGCCCCAGACTACAAGAACTGCGTTTCGGGGTTGCCCATCGATGACTTTGGATACCCAGCCGGAAAAAGGCAAGACGCCGTCGCGCGCGACAGCAAATACTAAGCGAGATGCTGCTAACACTGCGATTGCGGTGTTGAACCAAAGGGCCACGATACAGATGATGTTCATGAAGATATGCCCGCCATCTCCGAGGATCACAGCGTACAGCGGAACGAATGGTTGTGGTCCACCGAAAGAAAAGAATGTATCGGCGTCAGGCTGTGGAAATATTAGGATCATCAAGTAATACTGAGAAAATAGTGGAGATACATACCACGCAAAAGAGGAAAAGAATCACAACGACGAATCCTCCAATCCCACTAATAATCGTGCTCCAAAAGATCCCACGTGCAGCGGTGACTGCTGCATTTTTCGTCTCCTCGGCTACGTGGCCCGAAGCATCAAACCCGATCAAGATTCCTGCCGTGGCTAGAAATGAGAGACACCAGTTCCACGCGTCGGGAGCACCGGTACCGTTATAGGTCGTCATGAACGCATCGTGCGGCGATCTAAATCCGATGGTTCGCGCCGTGGCGACGGGTAGCCAAATAATGTTTAAGAGGAAATCGAGGATGACGAAGGAAGTCGAGAGATAAAATATCCATTTGAAGTAACGAGCTATTTTATTTATTTAGTTTTTAATCAGACTTGATACACTGTGTATCTTGATCGTTGGGAGCGGGGTATTACGTACGAGGAAGAAGATTCCATATTGCGGCTAATGCTAACATGATCTCAGTGGTGATCCATTGGAGAGCGCGAAACTTGACGTCGGAACTATCGGATGGGAAGTCTAGGTTGAACACGACGATTTCCTGGAAGAGATCAGAGTTGTAGAGGAGGGGAGAGAATTTCTACTCTTACAGATAGCAAATAATTGACAGCACCCCTGAGTGTTAGCTATACAACCAGATTAGCAGAAACATACAAAAGCCTGACCAGTCACTAGTTCACATACTCGCACAGAAGGTAGTCCAAGCCGTTGTGATCCACCACGCGACCACGAAGCCAAACAATCGACCAAAGCGAGGACCGCCCGCCTCGGCCGCCCACCAATAAATAGATCCGGCAAGTGGTAACGATGAGCATATTTCTGCGATGACGGCGGCGGTGATGAAGGTGAAAACACAGCTTATGATGAAACTGGTCCAGTAGGCTAGATTGCCGCCCGCGGCTATACCTGTCGAAAAAGTAACACGCACACCGCCGACGAAGTAGAGAGCGGCTTTTGAAGGTGTTAGTCTGAGGGTTTGGATGGGTGGATGGATTGAAGATACGCACCGAATGAGGTTGAAAAGTTGTGGAATAGACTGAAGGATCGATGGAGCACCTGAATTACTCATTTAGTTCAATTTTATAGAAGCACATGACGAAATCACGTTTTTCCTACAGGTTTGTAGCCGAGATTTTCCTGTTGTGTGGTTAGCTTTGTGGTAGCGATCAGATGAGGTGAGGTTTACCAAGACTATGGTATCTTCGGTATTACTACTAGGTTCTTCTGGATTATCCACCAGCCCTTTGTCGATGGACTCCTCGATAGATCTATGTTCCCCCATCATACTAAGCTCCCAGAAACTTCGATTTCGTGCCTCAGACTGCGTCAAGTGACTGTATCTCAATGATGTGTCGTCTCAATTGGACTGCGATAGTTTATTGTATAGTTTGGTAATAGCCGCGGGAAATTATTGATATGTATACAATTTCAGATCAGGGTTCCGAATATTTTCACATTCGAACTCATAGATTCACCGGCTATTTCTACCAAGTCTGAATAGCACGTCATTATGCCCTCGTAATTGTGTTATGGGTGGTTCTCGTTCCATAACTTCAATTTGACTAAAATAAATACATCCCACCTTTCGCCGTTTTTATAAACTACACTCGACAGAGATATCTTCCGTTCTTGATGGATTTGATTAATCTTTGAGAGTGTGTGGATGCGTTTCGTGGATTAGAGTAACCACTGTTGAAAAGCGGTACACGTCGCTCATTTGGTTGCAGGGATGATATGACGGCATGCTGGAAGAAAATGTGTTGATCGTGATGGTGGATCCTCGAGATACATAGTCTAGTATTCTTTCCCATACTTCCTTGCACATGGCACTCACGAGATATGCCGCAGTGACTTGAGGGAGTACAGTCAGATAAATTTCGATGGACGTCTAGATTCTCTAGGAGATGAACCAATAAAATTTCAATCGCTTGTATCCTGAATAACTTGCACTCCTTATCTGCTAATATGGACTGGACTGCGAATCTAGCTGAAAGCATAAATTCTCCCGAAGCTACATCAATCACGCAACTACCGGTCCCAACAATGTGATACCACCCCCACTACTAGCACGGAGTGCGGCGCCCTGGGTGCAGACGCGGCTTCTTTAAACAGAAACTCATGGGTAGTTGTGATTCTTCACGTCTGATATCACACTCTCTGAGCTTTTTGAAAAGAGATCAGCATACTTGGGACGAGAAATGATGCCGTTCCTGCTCTCTCTCCTTGCTGAATGCACGGCATTTATCCTCGTCGGACTTTGCCTTGTCGTAAGTTATACAGTTTTCGTCCTTGTGATAGCTTTACGAATGCCTAACTCTGAAATAGAGAATTGTTCGCGGATACTTCTCGCCGTTGTCATCTATCCCCAATGCAGGAGTAGGTGCACCGTACTCTTGCCTATTATGGGCTTTCCCAACAGAATTCAGAGGACGCATAACCTTGGATCTCCCTAAACTTCATGAGAAGCTGGGTATGCTGAAGCATAATAATTGGAACAGATTATGTGACTGGTATATTCATAGGTCCCCTGGTTCGTATTGGCCCAAACGAAGTTTCATTTTACTCCATGGAAATGTATGATACAGTTCACGAGGTGAATAGCAGATTCAAGAAAGATCCACGGGTGTATGGAGAGTTTGTACAAGGTGACAGTCCTGCTTTGTTCTCAATAACGTATGATTCTTTCGAACTCAATGTCCGGATATCAACTAATCTTGTCAGTGATCCTGTGGAACATTCGAAACGTAGAAGACTCATGGGTCAATTGTTTAACCGCAGTCAAATGCATAAATTAGAAGGTCTGATGTTGAATCATATCAATCAATTTGTGCAAACTGTTGCATCAAACAGAGATAGGGTGAATTTGTTGCCAGTTTGTCGCGCACTCGAAGCGGATATTATGTGTATTACTGCCTGTAGAAGTCTTTGGTGGAAACATGCTGATGGAATTATTCAGCCGATTTCTCATTTGGTCATACGATCGGTGCTCTCGATGCATACTCTCAAGGAGCTGAACTTGAAATGATAGCAAGAAATGATGAAAAGGCGACTTGGATGCCTCTGGTAAGCTCGAGTCAAGCGAGCCCAACAATTTCTCATACTAACTCTTCGGATAGCTGACTGGTTTTCCGGGGTTGTGCAATATGTGGGAATGGGTGGAACAAATTGTGTCCTCGAGAACAGGCTACAGGACCCCGTACAACAGAGCAATGTTCGATTTTCAACAGGTAAGCATCTTTCCAAGGGTATTGTTCCAGTCTAGCGATACTTAGCATTCATCAGTGGGCAGAAAAAAGTTGGCGCACAACGCTTTCAGACAACGCAAATCAGGAAAAATCTACTTTTTCCTTCCCAAATCTGGTCCAGACCATGATTAAATCAAACCTGCCATCTTCCACAGCCTTGTCGGAAGCGACAGAAAATCTAGGTCCAGGCACGGATACAACCTCAGCAACTTTAGCTCACATTTTGTGGGCTTTAGGAAGTAACTCTGATTTTCAAGAAGAGCTGGTCCAGGATCTGGCTAATGTGGGGTTTCCCACGGATATGACAACCTTAGAGGGTATACCTAAATTACGGGCGTGTATAAAAGAAGGTATTCGATGGACTGGTGCAGCTGCCGCCATGCTTCCTCGTCTTGTACCCGAAGGCGGAGCAGAATTCTATGGGCACTTTTTACCGGAAAATGTAATTACTCTCGCTTTATTTTCTTGCTGATAAGTTCTCGACATAAGCTAACCCAGATGTCTGTTGTAGACAGTAATCAGCTCGTCGCCAATTTGGTATCTTCACGACTCAGTCGCGTTTCCAAGGCCAAAAGAATTTGATCCGTACCAATGGCTTACACCTGATGGGCAGAAGATTAGAGATGATCCATTACGGGATAAGTTCTACATACCATTCTCCAAGGGTGCAAATATCTGTATGGGCGCACAGTAAGTTCACCATTCTTCGTTTGATACCGCCTGAATTCAAGACTTACATGGATTTACTACAAAGCTTTGCATATCTGGAACTGTTCCTATCAATCTCCCAAGTAATCCGCAACTTTCGCGTACATATGCATCCTTCATCTCATCATCGATCATATTCAGATGAAGAGAAAAGGTCTAGCCTTGGAGTATTCTGGCATGTCGAATTGCCAAATCGGAGAGAGTGGGTTGCGGCTGTACCTACAGAACGTTTAATGGTAGCGCTTGAACCAAGGTTATATACTTAACCTGGACTTACAGAGCCGATCTTGAGCGCATGGTCCCTTGTAGAGGAAGAGCCTATTATTCTGCTCCGACTGACACCCTAACCGTGGGATAAAAAAAGTTCTTCCGTGTTTTATATAAGATGAAAATTTTCTTAAAATGGTGTATATATTTGGCCCCTCATACAGTCATTCTTAGTCTGCACTTGTGGAGATAGCAAACTATGACCGACATGGTTTTCACCAAGAAGCTGTTCCGACTTTTCCTGAGAGCTAAGAGGGTAGGTGGCTGCAGTGTCAATGTGACAAAATTTCGAGACTACCAAAAGAGCCAGTAGCTGTTGAACATCTTCCGCTGTTGCAAAATGACCTTCTCCAAAAGAAGCGCCACCAAAAAGAGTAAAAGGTGGTGTGCCTGTCATGTTTAATTTTATATTGGGTGGTAAAAAAAAAGATGATTTCTGAAGATGGCAATCGGAGAGCAAAAGTAGTAGGTTCAGATCACCTGTGGGAATTAGTCTGGATAAGTAGCCAGTTCTTGACTACGATTCGTATGGATATCACGATGGCATTAATCATCAGCTAGGCTCGTGCAGTCATTATAAGGCGTTGTAGTTTACAACTGTTAGAAGTATTTGCTAGGTGCTGGAATTAGCAACACTTGCTACTAATTTCTACGCTAGCACAGAACTCATCGCTTTTACTCAATGTCTCCATAGTACTATTAAGCACTTGATTCACCTCCAAAAACTATCTTACCAACATGTCTGAGCAAAGTCATGAGTATATGGTTTATTCCGTAGTTGTAGCCCATAGAATATCTGTACTTTATCGGAACACTAGATCCGTATACAGGAGGGTGTAGAATGTGGATGAAACTCCGATTATATCCGTACTGTATAGGCCAATCTTTCAATACCTGGATACTGTTAAGTCAAATTTGGCTCAGTTTGAATGGAGTTTTGAACTCAATCAACCTTGGACGAGATCAGAAACCTTCGCAACAATAAGTTCAACTTAATATTGGCCAATAACACTAACGCTCAGAGCGTCTTCTCGCTAATATACTTGCAACTAGCAATTAACACACAAGAGTTACTCATTCCAATTCGACGCCGGAACTTAGCTCCAAGATTCCTACTGTCAGAGAAAAGCTCGTATCTGCCCTCGAGAAAGAGTTTCTTCGTTGTAACAAACAATGGAAAACAATTGAGACCTGTAGAACTCTTAGAAATATCGTTTTCCGGACACCTGCTCGAGTATTTGTTGGTCCAGATCTTTGCTGTAATGGGAATTGGCTCGACTCCATGATACTTCTTCAATCAGAGATGTACCATGTTCAGTAGTAATGTATACATAGTAGACTGGATATGTTGTATACTGCAGCTTTAAAGTATAGATAGATTGTGATGTGGAATTTTTCACCAGCTGGAATTCGATATTAAGTCACGTGCAAATATGTATTATTGCATCACATTCCTCCAATCTATGGGAATGAATAACAGAATAAATAGCCATACCATTCATTCATTACCTACCTACACAGATAAGCAATGTGGGATACCTACCGACCCATATTGAGTGAATGTTGTAAGGCTGTATACTCTTGAACTGTAGAACCATACCTTTGTGTCATTGGAGTAGAGATTTAATTTGGTACGATGACCGCATACAATTACCTAGGTAATTGTGCAGCACTCATCCGTTGATTGGATTCAATTTGACCGTATTACGAGTAGGAGTAGTTGTTGCAGTAGCATGGGGACGTATGTATATTGAATGCCTCAGGAATCAAACAAATCAAATTTCTCTCCTGCCGCTTAACATCGCGCCGTACAGACATCAATTTATTTACATAGTCGCCATTTTCTTTACAACTCGAGTCTCTTCTATTCTATCCCCATTCTATTCACAATTATTTCGACAATCACGATAAAAACGCGACATCTCGTTTTTCAATCAATCTTAGGTCTGAAGAATACTACATGCTTAGATAAATTACTCCAAGTCTTCGCAGTCGCCCACATTTTTTCCCTTTCCCATGCGACATCCTTAAATACCCAATACTCATTTGATGACAACTTCTTCATCTCGAGTTTGCGCAATATTCTGACAACACTTCCAACAATCTCGCTTCCCTGCCGATTCAAGATTTATCGACTCCATCCGAGAGGACGCGACAATCATTGTAATCATTGATCCTCGGTCCTGTCGATCACCAAGTCGCGTCATCTAAATTCTCAGCCTTACCTTCGCGATGAATTCGCCGCAACAAGCAAATGCTGCTCAGCTGGCAGCACGCACCATCAAGGCGAAACCTAGAGGCAGATTGGCAGGTCAAAAAACTAGTGGCTTCCCACCAATACAAAACAACAACCATAATAATAATGCTGCCGTTGGCGGTGGAAGCAGTGGTGGTCTGTTTGGTGGAAGTGTAGCTGCGCCCGGTGCATTCAACTTTTCAGCGCCGGCTGGAACACCATCTTTCAGTCCTTCATTTGGAGACTCGACGCCAAATCCGTTCGCACAATCCGCTGCATCAACCAACCACGATGACCCACGTGCAGATACAACAGGTGAAGAAGCTCTACGAAAAAGCAAGGTATTCAGCGGTGGCTTTAGAGCAGCTGGTGAAGATGAGGAAGCCTTATTTGCTTCACACTCTCCATTCCATCATAACAATCAACAACAGCAATCAAATACTTTAGGTTCTTCCAATAATACACAACCACAAAATATGTTCGGTGCAACAAACGCGACACAGTCGAACGCAGGTGGATTCCAGTTTGGATCTTCAACTTCGCAGAATCAAACATCAAGTTCAGGTTTCGGTGGCTTCAATTTTACACCTACGTCTCAAGCGGCAGATAATAGTAATTCTGCTTTTGCCTTTGGTTCCTCGACACAGGCTCCAGTGAATAACAGCACGCCAGCCTTCAATTTCGGTGCGACAAATTCAGCTTCGGCAGAAAATTCTTTGAATTTTGGTGCAAATTCACTTTCAAAGGCACAAAATCCTCTCGCCCTTGAAAACCAAAAAGCAAGTAATTCTTATTCCGATCCTTCTCAAGTTCTCTTTGGTTCCAATAACACCCCAACAAACTTTTCTAATTACCAACCCGACAATTCAACCTTTAACCAACAGTTCATTCATTCAAACAAAGACGCTGGAAACATGTTTGGCAACTACAAAGTCGAGTATTCTTCAGAAGCTGGGCAAGCGCCGGTACAACCTACTCAAAGTCACTATCCAGTGGGCCATCTAGGATTGTCCGCCGACATGAATTATCGTGGAACTTTCTCAGCCAGACCAACGGATTCCCTCTTTGGCAATGGTCATATGCTTGCGGACTATCGTGCTAACCAGAATCAATTTGTACAGGAAAATTCGAGTACCTCATTCGGACAGAACAAGACCAACAATTCTTTTGGTGCGCAAAACAACTCATTTGGCGGTTCCTTTGGCGGTGGCTTCGGTAATCAAGCCAATACGAGTTTTACCGGTCTCAGTTCTACCAATGCTGCACCTTCAAACTCTCAGAGCTTGTTCGGCAACACTACTGCAACCACATCTGCTCCGTCTTCCTCTTTCACCTCATCTTTCCCTGCAACTTCAGCTGCTCCAAGCACCACGAATTTGTTTGGAAGCACTTCTGCTTCATTCCCCACTACATCAGCACCAACCACAACCAATTTGTTTGGCAATGTCAACTCGTCATTTCCTCCTGCGACTGCCTCAAACACTCCACTTTTTGGTGCTGCTAAGCCTGCCGATGCTACCCCAGCTGCTTCGAGCAACTCATTTTTCGGTAGTGTCAAACCTGTAGAGTCGACGCCATCCACTTCAAGCACTTCCTTCTTTGGTAGTGTCAAACCCGCTGAGTCAGCTCCAACAGCTCCAAGCAACTCAATGTTTGGTAGCCCTAAGCCTGCTGAGTCGACTCCTTCAACTTCAAGCAATTCACTCTTTGGTGGGTTCAAGCCTACTGATTCGAGTACGTCGAATCTTTTCGCCAACCCCCTAGCAACGCCTGCCTCTTCAACACCTTTCACCGGCTTTGGCAAACCAGCAGAATCCACTCCAAATCTCTTCAACCCTAATAACCAGGCCAATGGCCAAAGCAACAATCTATTTGGATCAAAATCTGCAGAAGAGCCAAAAGACAAGCAAACTCTTGATCTGTTCAGTCCCAACAGACCGGCCGGCCAACAATTGTTCGAGTCAAATGCCACGAACAGTTCGCCAGAGAAGGCATCTGCCCAGACTCCAAATGCTCTCTTCGCAAGCTTTGGCAAGCCAAATTCTTCAACAGAACACCAACTGGGTGGCGCAACCAAAGAACAAGCTGTAAGTTTCTTTCCTGATTCATCGAATGATGAATCAATTCAAGCTAACATTTCACAGTTCGCTGCTCCATCCACTAGCCAATCTGAATCTTCATTCAAGATTCGCGGCACCGCTGAGACGTCTAGTTTCAACAAAGCTTCTTCTCCTTTCAAATCAGTAGACACCCCAACAGACGCAGCACAACCCGTTACAAGCAACCTGTTTGGTGGCTTCTCTTCCAAATCACAAGATGCTCACCCCTCTAACGGATCTTTGAGCAACGGCTCCGATTCAAATTCAATGGCTCTCACTGCTCCTACAGACTCATCTTCGCAATCTCCACCCTCCAACAACAAGGCACTTGCTCCTGTTAAGAGAGCACTTGCTCCTGGTAGATTGTCCGATTTTGAGTTCCAAGTCTCTGAACCTACAGACATGGAGATGGATACCAATATGCCTGTCAACTTTAACACGGTTCAAAGAAAAGAATTCAAGGCACTTTGGCGCATTGCATCTGTGCAAAGATCAATGGCAGCTTACTTCCAACATTTACCTCCTGGAGCAGACCCATCTAAAGGATTGGCATGGATGGAAGCCAAAAAGAGAGAGATTCTTGCAGAATATAACATTGATCACATTTCCAACAAGCGAGACAGAGCACAAGCTGATCTTGAGAATGACGAGAACCAAGAAAACATGAGCCCTCAAAAGCGAGTTAGACAAGATAGAGAACGCTCACATCGTACTTCCAGCCCAGAAAAGCGATCGCGAAGTACTCGTAGTCCAGAAAGACAACGCTCACGTGCGATAAACGATTCCGAGTCTGAGATCAACGGCAATTCGGTATTGAAAGCACCAAAACTTCAGCCCGGTCGTTCATCCAGTCCAGGTAAATCGCCTTCCAGAAGTGCAGCTCCAGAACCAACTCCAAGCAAGAAGAGAAGAAGTGAAACTCAATCTGAAATTGGTGGAGAAAGTAGTGGGCACAAGAAGAGAAGACCTGAACAGTTGAACAACAACGAAGGAGTTAACAGTGGTAACAGCAAGAAGAACGAGGAAGTTGACACTGGTAGCAGCAAGAAGAGAAGAGCCGAGGTTTATTTGACTCAAAATGACCCTGAAGGTATTGAAGATGGCAAGAACAGCAATAAGAAAACTTTAAATGGTTCTAGTTCAAGCACCTCTAATATGTTCAAGAACATTTTGGACAGCCCAGATAAATCAACGAGATCTATCAGCCCAGAGAGAAAGACTCGGGCATTGCCTGGAGCTACTAAGGAAGCTGCATCAGTACCACCAGCAGCACCTGTTTCAAACCCATTTGGAAATTTGGCAGGTGCTTCTCCCATCAAGTCTAATACCGCTGCAACCTCTACTACGCCAAGCAAGCCTCCAGTCTTCACATTCGCACCTACATCTACCACGCCTACTACCTCTCCAACCAAACCACCTACATTTACTGGTACTAGCGGTATTAAACCACCTACCTTTGCCGGCGCCCCTACTGGTGGTATTAAGCCACCAACTTTTGGCAGTGCACCCGTTAATTTCCTGGCCCAATTTGGAAAAAAGGCCGTTGAATATGCAGAAGACAACGAAAAGATTTTGATGCAAAAAGCTAAGGATGAAGATTTTGATTCTGAGGACGACGATGAGGCTGAGTGGGAGGCCAAGTACAAGAAGAAGAGAGCTGCGGAGCTTAAAGAATTGGAAGAGCTTGCACAGGCCAAGGCTCCTTCTTTCCTCGTCAAATCCACCGATACCCCAAAAGCCACCGAGCCCAAAGAGACTGTAAAACCAGCGGCTACAAACATGTTCACACCAGTCGCCACCACTACTTCTACCTCATTATTCGGACAAACTAAACCCGTTACTGGCGTTGCTGAGAGCATTTTCAATTCGGCAAATACCTCGAGAGCAACCACTCCTAACTTGTTCTCTAGCACTGGATCCGTCCTTGATGGTGCTGCAGGTGCTCCAGGAAAGACCCCTTCATTTTCTGGTAACCCATTTGCGCACCTCTCTGATGCAGAATCCAAGAATCAGAATGACGAGGACGATGGAAGTTCTGATGGTGGTTCTAACAGCGACGGAGAGGGTGAAAAGAAAGATCCAAGTTACCAACCAAACCAAAGCAAGGCCACTACAAGTACACCTAGTATTCCTGCTTCTGAGGGTGGCTCTAACATTCTCTCAAAAACAGCACTTACTGAACCACCAAAGTTCAATATTTTTGGTTCAGCTGCCAAGACTGATGCCGCCACACCCACTCCTGGTACTGGCGGAAGTCTTTCTAGTCGTATGAGTTTTGGTGCTGCGCCGGAAGAGAAAGAGGATTCGGCGTCAAAGCCAGCTACAAATATATTCGGTAGCTCTTTTGGCGCAACTTCTAGTACTCCTGAAGATAAAACCTGGAAACCAAACACACCAATCAAATTTGGTAGTGATGCACCATCTGCGCCAGTTTTCAACTTCACTAGTGCTACACCATCCTCTTCTACCCCAACTAAACCGACAACCAACTCATCGGGGGGACTGTTTGGTAGTTCTGGAACCTCGGCTTCTACTCTCTTCGGTGGATCTACCAATACTACAGGATTCCAGTTCGGCGGTCCATCATCTGCCCCAGCTTCTTCATTCCCTTCAGCAGATGCATCTCGGGCTAACTCACCTGGTGCGACTACCGATGGCGCTGATGATAACGATCCTGAAAAGGTTCATGCTCAGGTGAACCTTTTGGAATCTAGTCCAGGTGAAGAACATGAAGACGCCGTCTATTCCGTTCGAACTAGAGCTTTAAAGTTCAATCCAGCAAAGGCCGGTGAAGAAAAATCTAGTCCTTGGGATACCAAAGGTGTTGGACCATTGAAAGTCCTTTGCCATAAAGAGACGAAGGCTACTCGAATTGTTTTGCGAAGTGACCCATCAGGATCTATCATCATCAATAGATCACTTCTTTCGCAATTCAAATATGAGGCCAGTGGCAAGACTGTCAAGCTTAATACTGTTGGGGACGATGGAAAGTTGGAAACATGGGTTCTTCAACTCAAAAATGTTGAACTAGCGGAAGAATTTGCCAAGTCGTTGGAGGAAAACAAGATCAACAACAAGTAAGGGTCACTTATATCACTTTATATCATACTTTTTTTCAGCGGGAAACGATAACATGTTCATGGAAATAATTTGGGCGTTTGCATTGCATAGCGCGGAATGGGAAAAAGAAGATTACGATTGTACTTGTATTGCGACTTTGATTTTGTTCTTAACTTTCTCCTTTCAATATTCTCAACGTTAATGGAAATGGAAGGAAGGAGGAGTAATTTATGAGCATATTATTCAGCGGCTCCAGTCTATTCGAAACACTTCACACATTTTCGTGCAATGGATAACATCACTTTGTGGGTGGGGAACTACGACTTTGGGATTTTGATAAGGGTTGTATATTGATTGGGCTGTGACCCCTTCTCTTTTCAAAATTTCCATGGGGCATATAGAACCTTGATATTGATGGACATGTGGTTCAGGAAACTCGAATCTGATCGGAAAGGATTGTAAATAGTATAGGGTCAACCTTCAGTACATTTGTACGAGTATATAACGAAAACATTAAATTTTATTTGTTCATTGCGTTTGTTGGTGTATGTGTGAGTATAGTTTTTTCATTCGGTATGAACGTAATAAGTATATGGCCTACTATTACTCCCTCCAAGGAACTTCTCTCTGTCCCTTAAAATTGGAGAAAATTATAGCACAATTTGAGTATGTTAGCCAAAAAAGAGGCTTACATTGAAGTTTCAACTCGAGGCAGGTCCTGGAAATCTCTCACTGGTTCAATAGTCTGCTTTCCTTTTGCTTATTTTTTGACACCTAGATAACTTCTTGTCCTCCACCATCAAGTCTTTGTGGGCACCACCTCCTAGGACTATCCTGTTACACTTTTGTCTTTAAGTGATTCTTTTATCTTTTTCATTGTATTTTTCATATCAAGGAGCATAAGCTCCGTACTTACTAGGTTTCTAACTTACAAAAATATCAAAGCACCACGAGCACGACTAATAAATTATCAACATCGCGTGGGGGCATAGCACGTGCTGTAATACAAGTCCACCTTCATCAAAATCCTCTCGCAGTCGAGTCGAATACTATACTATACAACGCAGATAAGCCTCCCAGATAATTCCTACATCATATGTTCAATCACGAATGCACAATCTCCACTCTCCCAGAATTGTTACATGGTGGCTTGCTCTCGCATGCAAAAGCGAGGCACCAATGTCGTCGTCGCTCTGCGGTAGAAATTTCTCGAAATGTCGCGAATCTTTTTGTCCCACCTGTTTTTGAATCCCCACATCTTGAGGCTTCATGTGTTCCGTGATAATGGATTGTGCTGTGTCCCCCCGTTTCTTCTTGATATATATAAAGAGATGAGCTCCGATGGATTGGGTTGTGTTATGTATGGTATTGATCGACGAGAAGGTTGTTAACTTTATTGGTTTCTACTGATTTTTAGACGTCTGCGACTAAATTTATTATTTCTATGATCTTTTGTTGCGAGTGGTAGTCGGTGGCTGTGTTGCATATCAGCGACTGGACGAGCTACCATATTCTTATTCGTATTTTCATCGGTTGAGATATAACATACATTTTGTTTATTGCTGAAGAGAGAAACAATGTCTTCAGCACCGTCGGATCTCTCTCTAAACCCGGATCAGAGATATGATAATGATCAAATGATTATGGCTTGGATAGCGGCTTTGGTCGCTGCAGGATGTCCACCTTTCGCATTGGCTTATGATACGACATCCTCGACTTATATGTCAAATCCTGAGGGAGAAGAGACGGTGTAGGCTACCCTAAAAGGTGGGCTCTGTGTGAGTATAATATTAGATGTTAGGGTTTGTGTGGGCTGAATTGATGCGCTTACGGGAATCCGATTGAGGAATTCTGCAACGCTATTTTTTGTTTATCGCAATTCCCTTTGTTGGCGTCGGTTTAGACATAGGAGCTTGACATGGAGGCCAACTCCGCTTGGTCTATTACGCACTTTCTTTTTCCTTCTATTCTATCGGCTTTCGTACGGATTTACCGGCACTGCAGCACTTGGTTGCACCAACGCAAAAACCATCACGACTTATGAATCTACATACCTCCACTTTCGCATTTAGGCATCTGGGAAAAGAGAGATTAGTTGGAGGCTGGTTCCCTATCGCTATATCCCGGCCGAAGATCCACAAACGAGCAAGTGGAGAAAGCATCTTGACTTCAGATTTACGTCTCGAAATCTCAGAGGACCCCTGTATGGGGAGAAGTACAATGATCGTAGATGCTGCCATCCAATCAAAACCCTTGAGTGGAAGAAGGGTAATGCGTATGCCAACTTCAATTTATTGATGTATTAGTAGTACTGAAGAGAATAGGGCTTTGTGGGATCTCCCCGTCAAAAACGGAGGATAATACAGTATCGGCTTGGGATTTCAGAGGTTGATGTCTCATTGCAAGACACGCCTCTCCGAAACTCCTGAGAAAAGGCTGATTATTTCTTGTGGAGGGTGTGAGGAAACTTTTCTTGCTCAAAAACCGCACACATACATATCTGGGTATGAATCTCATCTGTCTCGCCTATGTAGGAAAAAAGGGAAACATGGTAATGAATGACAGACACAGTACGGTGGAATCCTTTAAACTTCACACTTCGTCATCCAATCCCAAAATCTTTCACCCATATCAATATTCATTCATGTACTATACATAATATTATTTCTCAATGCACTATGCAAGTAATTATGCAATAAAACACAATAAATACACCATGACACTTGTCACTTGTCACTTGGCACTTAACACCTCCGACCTAAAACCTGACCCTGCCCACTCCAGAAACGATCATTTGATAATAAGTAAGGTGACTGGATAATGAGCACCTATCTCTTCTCGCAAAATACACACTGTATCCAGGTTTCGCTAACGTAACCTACCCCCTACCAGCGAAATTGAAGAGTCGGTCGTCCATCCATCCATCCGTTAATCCATGTCATATCTAGAATCTAGATAGAGCAATAGCAAATATGATGTATGTTGAGGGATTGTCTTTCGTATCCCCTTCTCTCCTTCTCTGCCTTTATTTGTGAGATCCTGCATACCTAATAAGCTGTTGGCTAGCTATAAATATGAAAGTTAATGGTATTATTGATGCCGCTAGGGGTATGGCGAGGAAGAGGGTAGCATGTTTAAAAGTCATTGATTGAATGACTTTGCTAGCTAGGAGTGGAGAGGGACGAGAATTTGTATTTGATCGTGGTGATGTGAGGAGATTTTGATATGGATGTGCTTGATGGATAGATTAGATAGATTGACTTGTCCTGTTTTGAATCTTTGATTTTGGGTTTGCAATAATGTATACGGTATAGTAATGCAAGATCACGTTTATTCCTACTATCCCACACAATCATAATGTGGTGATCAACTGTCTCACTAATTGAAGAGAAACCACAATGAGGAATACGTATCCTTACAATGAATGCCCATCAGACGAAGTGACGATTTGACAAATGCTCAAGAGATCATATGTGTATATTTTGTATATATTTGGCACGAGTACATGGATAGTGCTAGTGATTTCAGACGTTCGGATAGAGAGAAGCAAGCAAGCCTTCAAGCGAATGTAGATACTCCATCTCTATCCATGAATCCTTAATCTCGTAGTATACAGTTTCTGTCGATCAAATGTTGTATGCTACATACGAGTACTGTATCCAGGGCTCCTCAGATTTATGAACCTTTCTATTTGCACATTTTCATTAGCCAGTGTTCTCTCCACTTGCTCAATTGCCCCCAAACAAAGCAATGAGTCGACAAACAACAAAAGGGGTGAATGAAAAAAGGAAGGAAAAAACTCACTCCACCCCTCTCATCCTCCATCCCAATGACCGGACCCATCTTTGCCCCCTTTGGAAACTCAATCTGGACCTTCTTCTTCTCCTCCTTACTCTGTCCACTGGATTTCTCCTCTAATCCCGCACTGCCACTATCGCCCTTTGCTCTCTCCTCCTTACTCTTCTGCGACTGATCATGTTGCACATTATGTTTCTCCGTCTGCTCATCCGTGCCGGCGTTTTCGGACGCGGGACGACCTGTCCAAGGTGTACGGTAGGCGGTACTGGTGGAGTAGGAGCGACGACGTGGAAGAGAAGAGGCGGCTCGTTGGACGGAGGATGCTTGGGTGCGAGAAGTAGTGGGAGTGTGGCGGAAGAATTGGAGATGGAGACGGGGGCTGGGGGTTAGGTGACGGATGCGCGAGGCGGGGGAGGTGGAGAGCGCGGGGGACATGGTGGAGTGATTGGTGGTGATTGTGGTTGAGAGAGTTGGAGATGAGAATTATGGATGGATGGATGGATTGATTGATTGATTGATTGATTGATTGATTGATTGATTTGTATTAATAAGTATTGCAAGTATGAACCAGCCAGATACGTGAATTCCTTTATCTCGAGAATGTCGAAAGAAAATGTGAGAGGAATACTCGAAAAGAAAAAGAAATTCCAGATGCTCAGAATGCGATTGTGCGAGAAACCATATAGATAATCTACCTAGCGAGAAGAGAAATGCTATTACATAGCTTCCACAGCTTAGATCAATAGTTCACTATGGAACTTTCTCCTTCCTTAGCTAATCGATCAATTCTGCATTAGTGTTTACTTGGCAGACGGTAATTGTATTGGATTGGACTTGATGGGTCGATCAGCTCAATCGATGTCGTCACAACTCTTTATCGAGATCTAGAATGCGGGGTATGTGTTGTGGAAACGTTCGCCTCCCTTTTACCGGATGAATTAATTATGACGATTGTGGTTGACTGATTGGTCAATTCGTGCTTGTACTATCCATATATATATATGCCTTAGGATCGGAGAATACCTGCCTAAGTATGTAACAAATATTATAATTTTTAAGCGATCGTTTTCTAGTATGGAGACTTAGAGCTGAGAGTTTAAGCTAACACATGCAGTTTCTTGATTGTGCTAGAAAATATCGTGGAAAGGTAGAAATGATCAATGGGTATTGATCCATTCGCTTATGGATTGTTGAGATATTATTTACTGCTAAGGGAAATCTGCGGGTATATAATCTCATGACAACAATAATTTGGCACAAATTCAATACCTGAACGAAGGAACATGCTTGACGTATGTCAACAAGACATAACTCAAGAAAATCTCAAATATATTCAATCTTGAATATGACCTCATGAACGCCATTTGCTATGCTAGATCCTTCTTCCTAAAACGCCAGGCCCATAGCACCATGAATATATTTTGAAATGAAGATTGTAAGCTTCTCATGCTCTACCGACTCTGAAGGAGAGGATCTGGTAGTTGTTAGTGAAGTTTCTTTCAGCATAAAAGGGAATTATACGCACATCATTATGACCAACAGAAACAATAGCATCTTCTGAAACTCTTACTCCACCAGCTCCTTCAACATAAGCCAAAGGAGCATCCCCCATAACTTTTCTCGCACACTCCGCGACTGTAGTATTTTTCTTCACCAATACACAATCCCTGAATACCTTTTCACTTCCAGATCCACCACTTCCTGCTATTAAACTTCCTACGTTCCTTACAGGAAATACTGGTACTAAACCTAGTAATTCTGCTGCTCGAGAAAGTACTTGTACTACTCCCGTACTTCCAAATCTGTAAAGAACCATATCCTTCAAATTCTCAATTCTGTTTTTGAGCTTTTCATCCAATTCTTTCAGACCTCCTCCAGTTTCATCGCCATCGGCGATTAAATCCTCCCTCGTATCCACGAACTCACTTCCCTCTGTATACTTCACAAAGCCTTGTTTAGCCAATCTCCTCAAGAAAACCTCCGAAACAGCACTGCATAGCACTATACTCTTTGGATCCTGCATCTTTGCAATCTTACTTATGTTCTTATCCGCATCCGCATGGTCAATCTTATTGAGCGCAATGACCGTTGGGAACTTCTCATCCGTAAAAGCATTCACCACTAAGTCAATTGTTTCATCAGACCAATGTTCCAAAGGCTCCTTCAACGCCAGTTTATCCAGCGTCCGTGCAACCACCGCACTTGTACTTCCATATCCAGAGAATTGCCCCTGTAATGTCTCGACAGCCGTAGCTTTCACAGCGACGTGTCTCCGTTTTATCGATCCCCATTTTTGCATCAAATTTCCTCGAATCCATGCTACTATTTCTGAACGCAACCACACAATGTCATAACTAGGGTCATAGCCTCTTGTTGCTTTTCCTTCCGCATCGGTTGTACCACTTACGTCTACGACATGAATGAGTGCATCTGCATGACGTAAATCGTCAAGAAACTTATTTCCGAGACCTTTTCCTTCGTGCGCGCCAGGGACTAGACCAGCTACATCAAGGAGTTCGATAGGAACGGAGCGACGACCATCAATACAGGAGCCGTAGTTGGGTTTGCAACGTGATTGAAGATTATAGCGAGCGCAGGCGCAGTCGATTTGGAGATATCCGATTGCGCGTTGAGGGTCGATGGTTGTGAATCTGGAAGTGGCTCAGTATTTTGTCTTTCTCTCTCTGATCTTGTGCGATTGCTCTAGTTTCTTGTATGGGATGGTGGGTATTTGCGCATATAGTTAATAGAGTGAGTGCTTACGGAAAATTGCCTGTACGAGGGGAAAATGTAAGTAAATGGAGGGGTAATTTTGAGTCGGATGAAATGATATGGGGGGGTATTTACGTACCAACTTTGGAGGTAGCATCTGTAAGACTGTTAAGTGTCGTACTCTTCCCTGAAGAGGGTTTGCCTACGAGGCCGATGAGAGGATCTCGTGGCATATCGTGTGGTGGTTATGAGATGGGATGAAGAGGATGTTCTTTGGACGTGCATAAACATAAAATTTGTGTAGGGATACGCCGAGCATGGTGGGGTGGAAACCTAAGGCATGATGAAAAGGTCATCGTCACAGGACAGGATAGCTCTCGGATCTGTATATTATTTTCTACAATTGCTTCTTATCATTAATAAGTTATGTACTAGAAACTTCTAACAAAGCTTTACAGATTCAGGTATCTTTCCTCTCGGGCTGAGAATCTGTTCAGTCCAGGCCATTAAAAATCCCAAGTATTATATTGACATTTTGAAGATTGTATGTTTTTAAAGTACCAGTCCAACTAAAGGGTCGGATGAACATCTTTGAACTCCAAGCCTTCATGGCCAATGGCAACAAGATGACATTATTAGTATCGCCCGAGGATGAATAGAAGAACGCTCATCGTGTATCCCAGGTTACCATATTCACTTGACAGATTGATATTTCCAGACCATATCTTCATCCAAGACCCAGCATAGGCAATGATGTGTGCTTGTACCCTTCAGCCCCAACTTGATACATAACATGGATATTCATATGTCTCATACGAAACTGTACCTAAGAAATGTGGCTCCTTGTTCACTTGAATGTGCAATACAATTATTAGGTTAGTCATGAACTTCTCAAAGCACTCGTGCATAAGCTAAACGGTCGAGATCTTTCTAGAACATTGTGTAACAATTCAGTATGATCTTGGGGGGAAGGGGTTACTTCGACTACCTATGTGTAAGTACAGTCAAGCTACAATGAAATGTGAATCAATGCATCTTCTCACAAACCTATTATGTGCGATCTTTTGTGCTGATACCGTGACACCGTTTGTGCTAATATTCAGCCACATAGCAGATCAAATAGACCAAGCTTTGTAAATGCAGGATCTAGAGTCTAGACATCGCTTTGACTCGTGTAGCCTTATACAGCACCAATACGCACCAATAAGCACCAATACGCGTTTACCCAAGAAATACTAGGATTCTTTCTTTGCAGTACACAACCCAGCCTCGTCATTTCATGGTGGCTTTGAATTTGGAAAAAATCGGGATTCGGAACATCGAAGATAATCAATTGGAAGAATCGATCAATCACAAGATGAAGTTGACAGCCAAGAAATTCCGAATGTTCCATGTACATAACCTTTGCCGTGTATGCGGCTTAGCAAAGTGTAGATGAAAAGAGAGAGACGAATAAGAGACTGAATTTACAATCACATGAAGTTATTCCCCAAACCGCCACAGCTCAGCCACAGAGCCACAACTGAAGGTCCCCGCAACAGAAAAAGAAACCAATCGGGATGCATGCGGCATTGAGAAAAGTCAATTTCCGACACTCCCGGCAACTACCATGATGCTACTTCGTACTTTATGTTTTGTCATCCATTATTGTTGAATGGTCGCAAAATGCACGAGAACCATACAACCTTGGAAAATCTATTCGTTGAACACAAGAATTTTAATTTTCATGCAGGTTCCTAGATGTGCATTTATCATGCTTCAGATTCAATTATTTCCATAGGTAAGATTGGCTGACTGGTGTTTTAATTTCCCCTTGGAAGACGAAAACCCGTGATGGCTGAAGCAAGTGAAGCAAGTGAAGCAAGTGAAGGGAGAAATGAAAAAGATATTATGACGTAATGTGGTTTAACAATTTACTGGTCACAGTGGTTGGTCTTGCAAATAGAATTTCTTGGTTGGGCCACACTTCACCACAATTCAAAGGGATCTAATCTATTTTCAGCCATGATAGTGCCAACTCTTTTCTTGCTGGTTAATAATAAGAGATGAAATAAGGTAAATTAGTGACGTTGTACTTCCGACTCAAGCAAAATCGGGAAATCGTACCATTCAAGTTCCACAAGTCCAAAGCCCAAAGTTCTTCTCACTGCTCATACATAAAGGTCCACTTTCCCTTTGGTTAGCTACTTTCTTCTGCAAACATACATTCCAATCTTCTCTACATTACATCGAACATCGAGCATCGAACATCAAGACAAAGAATAAGAACTCTTCGTTTTCCAAGACATCCATCAACCTTTTACCAATTAAATCCAACATCATGCCTTTCACAGCAAGGTAAGAATCATTCTCCATCCCAATCACTTTAGACTTTGTCGCACGGCAATCTAGTCAATCATACCAACGATGATCAAATACTAACATTCCACAACAGCGATATCTGCAAGATTATTCTCGCCGTCATCTTACCACCTCTTGGTGTATTCCTTGAGAGAGGTTGCGGTGCCGATTTGCTCATTAACAGTAAGACTATCCATACATTGCGATTGCAAATAATCAAAATACTAACATGCTTCATAGTCCTTCTCACCATCCTTGGATATATCCCCGGTATCATCCACGCTCTATACATCATTCTGAAGTATTAAGCTTCTCACGATAACGACTTTCCTCAAACTCAAAATAAACGATATACCGTACTCGACTTCGATCACACGATACCCCAATCTTCCTACCTCTTTCACATCTTCCCGAAATCAGGCCTGACCAATACGGTTCATGCTCAGACATATTAATGAATAATCAACTTCTTGGCATCGGAAGAGTCGGCTGCTGAATACTTCTCGGCTTGAAATCATGATGGCTCGGGAGTTAGACATAAACGTGCATGGGCATGGGTCATTTGGGAAGTTTTTGATTTTTTGATTTATACTTTTTCTTGCGCATTTCATACATGGGGTTTTTATGGAATGGTTCTTTTCGTCGGGTTTTTGGCAGCATGTCTACGGACTTGCGGTGCAATATGGGTCTTCAGGGGGGGAAATGTACAGAGCAATGGGGTGGATGGATAATATAATGAATGATTACAATCCGATTACAATCATTTTTTAGAGCATGAAATATTTGGGAATATGCACGTCGTGATAATCGCTGTGTTGTCAACTTTTCAATACAATCATGTACCCGTTGACCGATTGAGGCATACTAAGGTGGATTGAATGTTTTATATTACTCTCACCGACATGAAAAATGCAGTAGCCAAGCCGTTGTAGCAAATTGAAGCTTCCCGCTCTTGGAGAGATCGACTTCATGAGTACTTATTCAATACCTAGCTGGCCTAGCGGGTTCTTCATGATGAACAACAAATGCCGAACCTGAGTAACTTGACTATTGAAGCTTCGTTCTCCACTTTCAGCCCTCTCAAATAGATGCCTTCTTATTGAGGCACGATTCCTTGGGAGTGAGCTCTATATTACATAATCGATAAGCGACTCAAACTCTTGGCGGCCCACACAGAAAATTTCATATTTTCGAACCTCCTACTTCAATCCTCATCAACATTCAACTCGGCGTAGGATAACCATTTCTTTGCGACCTCACGAAAATCAATCAAAATGCCTGCCAAAGTACGTCCATGAATAAGAACCGCTTTGCTGTTGGCCCGCTCTACCGCAGAGTTATGGCGTGATACAGTAGGCTAACTTATTTTCTCTCAAATAGGCCGGAAACAAGAAGGGACCAGTCGTCAAGCGCAAGTTCGTTATCGACTGCAAGCAACCTGCCAACGACAAGATCTTCGATACCGCTGCCTTCGAGAAGTTCCTTCAAGACAACCTTAAAGTCGATGGATTGAAGAGCAACTTGGGCGACAAGGTCACCATCGCCAAGGAGGGAGAGAGCATCAAGATCGAGACCTCTGTCAACTCTGGTCACTACCTCAAGTACTTGTAAGTTTTATCCTATGAATTTTAATTCATATCTCTATTGGCCCGAGAATATATACTAATTCGCGGCGATGATAGGACCAAGAAGTTCCTCAAGAAGAACCAATTGAGAGATTGGCTCCGTGTTGTTTCCACCTCCAAGGGCGTTTACGAATTGAGATTCTTCAACGTTGTTGGTGATGAGGCTGAGGAGGATGATGAATAGATGGTTACATATAACATCTAGGATTGATAAATGATACCCATGATGGACTGGACTACGGACCAGAAGATCGTGAGGAGGGTTGGGATCTAGCAGTGGTAGAAATAATCAATGCTATATTACTGCTCTCTCAATCTGTTTGACTTTGAATATTGATGTGTGACTATGAGGTTCTCAATGTTGCTATTCGATTTTGGTGGAATTACATGCGCAGCTTCGGATCTATCGAAAAATTGTGGTCTACAGCGGAGCAGTGCTTTCTTTCTCGCAATATCCCTTTCAACATGCCGTGGAAAGTTCCAGTGTATAATACACGATGAACTAAGAATGAGGCACAACTCAAATGACATACACGAAGATGCCTTTCTAGTCCTTGGGAAGTATTCTCTCATTAAGCAACAAGGAAGAAAGCCATGTCCTCTTAAGCTAAATTTCATTCCTATCAAATATTCTCAAGCTTCGTAAAGCCCTTTCGCTAGAGACGGACAGTCCTTGTTCATTGCTACAGCCTCCCGCAGTGAAAGTCCTATCTATCCATTTCGGCTTCCACTTAAATCGAGCGAATTACTAGTCGTGCAATTTGTGAAAAGTCTAGGAGCCACATTGTTGGAGGCGCTTTTGATGATGGTCAAGAAATATGGTGTGGGATGTTTGACGTCAACTTTTGATTCTTCTTCTTCTTCCTCATCCAGGAACTTCACTTGTTCATGACGGTTAACAGAGTCTGTATTATTTAAAAGCAACAGAATTTTCTGGGCTACCGCAACAACCCACGTCCCATAGTCTCTATTCAGTGCATATGCACGGTCAAAGTCACCCCAGCATCAATGATGATTCCCGTGCCCGTTACATAATATGAATTTGCAGAGCCCACGTTTAAAATGACTCCGCGTCCAATATTTCGCTCGCCGCTTCGGCTCGTAATCTTGCGAGTTTCTTGCGCGAGCATGGCGTTGATTTCGGCGCGCACACATAGCATTAGGCCTTTGGTATTGACACTCATCACTCTATCGAAGTCTTCGATTGATGCTTCTGCGAATGGTTCGTTGGAGAGATGATCGATCTTGTAGTTTGGAAGTTGTTAGTTCATATATGTATGTATGGATGGATTTCTTCCTCTTCCACACTCCCTGAGATCGAGGAAGTACCAAAAGAAAGAAAAAGAATAAGAACTTCGTACCCCAGCCCCATTAACAGCATAATCAATGCGTCTAAATTCTTTTACCGTAACATCAATCATCTTCTGCACACTCTCCGCATCTGCAACATCGACCTCGATAATCAGCGTCCGAAAATCAGGGTGAGTGGCATATTGCCTGGCAGTCTCGGCAGCCTTTTGGGAATTTCTTTCATTGATGTCCGCGAGAGCTATAGCGCGGGCTCCTGCTTCGGCAAAGGAGTATACGGCTTGTTGGCCGATTCCTCCGCCCGCCTGTGGGAAGGGGTGAATGGGTTAGCTTGGTGATTATGAATGTTCGTAATGATGAGATGGGGTGAGGAGATGAGAAAGTTGTTTACTCCAGTAATGAGAACTACGCCGTCGATTGAATTTTTTGCCATGGTGGGAAATTTGAATATTTGAGTTGGAAATGGTGGGAAGTGTTTCCGCCTTTGACAATGAGGAATAGAATGAGACGACGTCTGGGAAACACCGAGATATATCTGATAACCTCTGAAGTCCCAGATCAAGTTTACAAGTTGAGACTGTGTCGCTCGTCAGATGTGAAGTGAGCTCATCCCACACCGGATCAATATTCCGAAACAACATGAATACCGTGTTATGCATGGAACCAGTGAACTTCGCGGTAGACACCTGCGCTCATGTGGCGCGGAGCGGCGGGTGTGCGTTGGATGGGGAGTTTGGAGATGGAATTTCTGCGGTTGTGAGGCGCGGCTGGGATTGTGCTTTTGGGGTTGGGTGTGTGGTTGGTGGTATGGTGTTGCTGCCTCTTTGAGTTGTGGACTAATGATGTCTGATTTGTAGGGTTGTTTTGGAAGAATATTGATGTAGAATGCATCAATCAAGGTCGAAATGGAGAGGTAATATTTGGATCAAAGTTTGATATACCTCAGATAGACAAATTTATAACATGGTGGCAGCTCTATCACCTCTAAACCTTTGCTTTGAAAAATTCAGATGCGCACGCTACAGAAAGTTCTTCATTCATGTTCGATACTTAGGTCAACTCGCGGTGCGATATTTATGAACGCGATTCGAGAAGCTGGGGTATTAAATACCTGCCAAGTGGTCTAGGGAAATCTCTCCACCGAACTGAAGAACTTTAAGTTAGGTCCACGTCAAGATTTGCGAGATCTAGCTGGCAGGTAGAACTTTCAGGTTGTAGCAGTGAAAAGCTCTGGAACTTCGATATACTTGTCAGATAAAGTAGGGGATATGTTAGAACTCACGCTGAAATTCACTGGCTAGTTAAGGCGCGGACGCAATGGATCTGGTCTGATGGACAAAGGACTGAATGTTTCATATGTTGTTCCTGAATACCAACTCAATCTTTCTCTCCCTTCGTAAAGATAGTGCAATGAGCAAGCTTAGTATCCCTTGACGCTTTCCTCTTTCACTCGCTCGTTTAATTGTCTAACATGTATTCATAATTGGTGATGGAAGAATATAGTGCAGAGACGTATCCATCTATAACTGAATACAGAAAATAGCTCGGCTCCATAGCATCGGATAACTTCGAGTCTTTGCTGCTTTAATATCTTAAAATGGGGGCTTCTGACTGAAATCTAAAGTTTTGTATCGAGATCTGCTATTCATTCATCGAAAATGCGTTATTTCGAAAAGCTACTATAAGGCTCTCAATGGCTAAATAAAATCTTGCTATCACACAAAAGCAATACTAAAGATCATTTCCTGCGGAAAGCTCAGATGACTGAGATAGTTAATTGTGTTGCGTGTATACATACCTAGGTAGTCAACATTATTTGCAGTGATATACATGAGGGCCGAAAACAATTGAGACGAGCTCAAATTAGAGAGCTAGTTAAGGTGATATGTTTGTTCTCACTGGATACCTTGAACACTCTGCTGGTTCCTCAAACACATGCAATATAGACGTCGCGAAGCTAGTAATGCGGCGACGTTGACCGCACCAAAACGATAAATTGAATTCGATACTCTGGTAACTCACGCCCAGTACTGGGTATCATAAAGCCAACAATTGCACTTCATCTCAAAAAGTGGAACCAAAACAAGTGAATACAACACTCATCACGTCGCGCACGAAAAAATCTCAAGATCAAAAACGAATCAATCCCAAACCGAAACCATCAACTCTCCAACTACACCACCCCATCACTCACCTTCCACTTCATATAGTCTCCTGCCCTTCAGTCTTCAACACAATGTGTCCAACCGGTCTTTATGGCCGAGTTGGTAGGAAAGCATAACGTACTGGCGAGTCCGAGAATGTAGGACGGACCTTTGCGGGCCTTCATACAGGTATACTGAGGAAACTGTAACAACCTACGGGTGAGACCACGGCGCCTCGGGGGAACTTGATCGCTATGATTACCTTTTTGCCATTTTGTTCTTTGGGAGGAAGGTGTGGTGAGGCGCGGCGCGGCTTTGGTGGGTTTAGGGAATGAACAGAGGAAGTGAATTAATATCATTGTTTTTGAGGCTTTGGGATGAACTAAGTTGACGCTGATAGCTTGATTGCGCCCTTGCACAATCGCGCATTAAATCATCAAGTCTTCAACAGAAGTACAAGAAATGCAGAGTGAGGAAAGGAAAGGAAGCCTTTCATCTGAATATCAACTCAACGTTTTTGTTTTATTGCTCTAAACCAGATATTCTTCTTATATCGAATTTGCACTCACCTTACATATGGAATTCAGGCAATATAACCAAAAAACAAATCTTGCAGGAAATAGAGAGGATGGAGGTGGTTGCATGCTAGGTAGATATTCGGCAGTGGTTTGCGCGCGCTCGCGCGGTAAGTAGAGAGCGCTTCTTGGTGTTTAAGTGGGGCTCAAGGTCACACCGCGTGATTTGTGGTAGAGGTTTCATCGACGGTGCAAACACTTTTGAGATCTTTGCAAGCTAGAATAAAGCTGAACTGGCTGTCTGATGATAACTTCATAACGTTTTATCGCACCGCGGATCTAGGTCGCTATTGAATAAAAGAGTATCACACTCATTGCCGCCTTGAACTTCGCTTTCCATCAACTGATCAGACTGCTATGGCTGATAATACATATGCTGTTGAAGTTCATCAATATGAAAAGTGGACGATTATAACGATGAATCAAGTATTAAGTTATTTGTTCGGGGCTTTGGAGCTCGTTTCGAAATACAATACCTACCGAGAAATCTCAAGGCATCATCCTATCAGTGGGCACAATACGAGAAGTCGTTGAGAATCTTGGCACTCGGAGATATGGGATGTAGTAATTGGGATGGATGTTATGAATGTGATAGAGGAAGCTAATAAACTCAAAGAACCATTCCGAGCTTTGATGGATTTTCTATTAATCAAACAAGCGACACCGATACCACCATATTGTACCGCTCGCGATTACCTACAGGCGACAGTATATGTCCTTGAAGCCAAGTTTGATGAAGATACTAGAAAGACTGATGCCCTTTTGCCAACTCTTAAAGGACTATTTCCCCGACAGGTAGTTTCTCTTCCCGGTCCACCTCTAGAGCCCATGGGTGGTTGGTCCATGGCTCATCGATTTTGAGGGCGGTTATACACCAAGTTGAGCGGAAAAGGAAAATGAGGAGACACAAATGGAGATTGGCAAGGGGCTCAGAGAATCAAGGAGTGGTTGTTAGAATGTAAAGGAAGACCGTTGAGACGTTTTGTCCATGTCAATTGATCTCTTTGATGACTTCATTTGTACATAGGAAGATGTAGTAAGTCTCGAAATCGAACGTGTTGACTTTTTCATTTGTGCACAGTAACTATCAACTATTGATCCAACTGTAGCACTCCAAATGCTCATAAGTTCGTCTGCGAATATGCGCTAGTTATTGATATAGGATAGGTAGGTAAGAGAGAAGATCTGTATTTTAGGGGAGGAGGGGGTTGATCAGTTTTAGCTAATGAAGAGTGAATAGATGATCCTCATATACACGTTTTGGTTGATATTGAATTTGAACATCGCTTTTAATAAATCTCACTCTCTTAAAGTTCACTATTAACCCTCACTATTAAAGCTCACTTTCAACTAGCGCGATTCTCCTAATAAAAACCCCCTCCATCTTGGCTTCTTGTTGCAAACTTTCTTCTCCTCTAAACAAACAAACACCAACTCAGAAATTCAACAGATTGTGGTTTGTATTTACAATTCATACATCTTTTCTTACCTCGAGATCGAATCAGAAGCTCTACAACACTTGAGCTCTTGTTCCTTTCATCCAAGACTCGAAACGAAAAAAGGACCTCTCAAAACCTCTCCCTTTAGCCTCATATCAAGCTTCAAGACGGAAAGAGGCGCAACGGGTCACCCAAAGAGTTCCCCCTCACTGCTTCGTCTCTGTATTGAGGTTCTACAATTCAAAAGTTTCTTCCAGTTTCCAAGCACGTTAAAAAATAGTAAGTAACTCTCGTATTTCTTGGTATATCAGACACTCTATTGCTAGCGCTGCGCTTTCTTGAGTGTATATGAATCCAGGACATTCAGTTCTCTTCTCACATATTCCCTCTTCACTGAATACTAACTTGTAAAGATCCGATACAATGAACGTCTCACCATTATTCGGACAGCACCAAAGCTTATGGACAGTCTTCCTTTTACGGACGGCGATCGACAAGCTGGCCAGAAAGAACTACAACATCGCTCGAGCCAGACCAGGGGAGAGTAAGCAATGCCTCTACTTTCGACTCGAAGCTCTGCAACAAGAACTTACGCAAGAACAACTTGCTTCTATAATTGCAGAATTCCGGGCCTGCCAGTATGGACCTGCAGATGTGGGTTGTGCCCCACAGCAAGAATGCAATCCGCAGGGCCAGCAACAACAACCCCCACCAAAAAATGCGGAGATTGGTGCAAGGAATGATGAGGCACAGGATGATGATTCGAGAGACCGCATGTTAAGGCTGGAACTGATGTTTGAAGATTTTCAAGAGCACGCCTTAGTGCAGGAAACACGAATCGAGCGCCTTGTAAATCGCAACACAGAGTTACAAGCACAATACAATGAGTCCCAGAATCTCGTCACAGAACTGAGAATGCAAAGCGATAACTCTGAGACTCGCGTCACAGAGCTAGAGGCAAATGTTACCCGCCAAAACGCTCGTCTGGCTAGACAAAGGGTCCAGCGTAGGATTCGATCGAACAGGAAAAGAGCTCGTTTGAGAAGAGCAGGCCGAAGACTTAGACGACAGAGTCAACGGTTGTTTGATGCAGCGCAAGATGTACACGGCTTGGCTGATGGATGGAGATGGATCTGATCACATGATTCGTACGATATTATGGAAGATGATAGGAGCGGGGGGGATGGGTTATAACTGGATGAAAAGAATTATCACGTGGAAAGAGTGAAGCATTGGCGAGTTTATCAATCGCGAGATGCAAAGGTCAAGAAAGTGTCGATGCCAGAAGGAGAGTATCTATCGTACAGTGGGTGAATCGGCCATGCAATGATTCCATGAGGGTTTATATCTATGAGTTAGCTCATTAATTAGTTTAGCGTTCATTCGCAATCAAAAGTGCTTTCATCGATAATTGAAATTCCATAGTGCGTATAAAAGGGAGGTATTAAGTGTTACTAGATAAACTTCATATTTAAGTATACATATATATGCAAATATTTAACAAAAAAGGTTTCCTTATACCCTCCCCAAAAGAGAATCAGCTTTTTCTCAGGAGTTCTGTTATGAAATCATCGTTTCTGGAGTAGGCGAAGACAGGACAGGTTCTAGATAGGATATCCGTGTATCACGTTGTCCATATAACCGATATCCCTACATCTTGCACAACCCTGCATCTTGCACACTTTTATTTCTTTTGAAAATAATATTCTAAAAATGATATATAATCAACCAATCATTGAATTCTATTAAAAATAAAAATGAGAATACTATAATATTATTTCTTTTATATAAAATAATAAAATTATAATTATAATTGATAATTGAATAGAAATCTCGATATCAAAACTATTAATATAAAATTATTATATATTAATTTATTTAATAATAGAAATAATAAAAGTTTGTTTTTAGAATATATTCTATAAATTTGAAGATTTTTTAATATATGGAATCAAAAAAAGTGTGACGAACCCAACGAGCGTTTAGAGATCAATCTTAGAATTAAAAGTTATAGAACTAAAGAGAGTGTACTACAAACTATATATATAATCAGCTTCGAGCTTAGTGCTGTATTAGCCTGATTGAATGTGATTATATGTATATTGTGATATTACCCTTCCCTTTTGAAAAATTTACTTCAAATTTGTTTTAAATAAATAGCTTAAGTATAAAACATAATTAGTAATTATTTTCCTTTTTATTATTAATATTATCATTTTCTTTATTATTTTTATATAAAACACTTCGAAATACTAAGTACATAATAATCAATTGGAAAGTATTACAAGAAATATTTGCATCTTCTAAATAATCTTCAAAGTATCAGCTATTGATTACCTCATTTAGATCCTTACCATTATTATTATTATAATTAAAGTCAATAGAAATAATTATAGTTGCAATAGGTTCTTTTTGGTTTCAAATACTTTGGTATGAATTAAGTGGGTAGATTTATATTTAATAAAAAGTATTTTTATATTAGATATATTTGTTTTATTTGTGTAACAAAGTTTTTTTAATAGGAAAAAACTTGGGTATATAAAAATGAAATAGAATTGGAATAGAATTGATTTAAATTTTAAGAGAATTAAAGGTATTAATAATATTAAGATTATTAATATTCATTGGATTATGGTTTTAAAAATGAAATGAATTCTATAGTATATATAGAGTTTTAGGTTTATTAGAATGGAATGATATAAAGAATTTATTTGTTATTTGTATAACTAATTATTGTATAATTTAAACAAAATTGGGATAAAAGTAGGGAAAAAAAAGTTATTAAAAAAAACGATTTTTAAGAGTTATATTAAATCTATTATAAAAGGTTAAGATTTTATTTGAATTGGGTTAATTCTATTCTTTGATTTTATAAAAAATTCTTTTGAATTTTGTAATATAAGTATATAAAAAATCGATTTTTTATTTAAAATTAAATAATTTATTTTTGGTTTTCTGAATTTTATTTAGATTATTATAGATATATATGAGTTGGTTTAGAATTATTATATAATCTAAGGAAATATTTTGATTAAAAGAAAAAAGCTGAAATAATATTATAGTTTGTATATAAGATTCGAGATTGAAATAAATATAGTAAAATTGAGTTATAGAATTATTAATCACAATATTATTTATTTATAGTTTTGCTTGGATTGAAGATAATCATATATCAAATTTCTAAAAGCTATTATTAAATTTTTCAAAATCAGAAAAAAAGGATTTTAATTAAAATAATATATATAATATAAAAAAGCATTTAAGGATTAAAGAATATAAAAAAAAGATTTTATTATATTATTAAATCATTTTACTACAAAATTCCTCAATTATATAAAAAATCTCAATTTTTATAGTTAAGAAATTAAGAATAAAAAAAAAAATAATACTTTTAATTAAAATCAAGAAGATTTATATATAGATAAGAGAACAAAAGTAGTATATTTAAATAAAAGTAAGTGAAATATATATAAGAATTTTATTTATAAATATATACAGATATTATTCTATTTTTTATTTGAAAAAGCTTTTAATAATATAACAAACCTAATAAGTGTTTAGAGATTAATCTTAGAATTAAAAGCTATAGAACTAAAGAGAGTGTGCTACAAATTATATATACAATCGGCTTTAAGCTTAGTACCGCACTAGCCCGATCGGACGCGATCACGTGTATATCGTGATAAAAAGCTAATTTTAATATCAAAAATTCGAAATTATATTAATATATAATAAGAGTTTTAATAAATAATTTGTTTTAAAACAAAAATCTTTTATAACTTAAGTATTAATTATATTCTGAATATAATTTAATTATATAATATATTATTTATATATTAATATTGATAATTAAATAATAAAATACTATATTTTATTATATATTAATATATATAATTATTTATTTTAAAAATATTAATATTTAAAAATTAAAATTATATAATCAATAATAAAGAATTTTTATTCAAATATTTTTTGAAAGAAAATCTTGATTTAAATTTAAATTTAAAACTAATAATTAGTATTAAATATTATAAAATAAATTTGAAATTGAATATAAACTATAAAATTCTTAGAAATATTATAAAATTTAAAAACTTTTTTTTAGAAATAAAATTCTTTTAAAAAAGGAACTACAATATTTTTGATTAAAAAAAAATATATAATAAACTTTTCAATTGAAATATAAAGATTAATTATTTTAATTATTATTTTTTCTTATTTATATTATTTTATAATATAATTAATTATAATTTCTAAATAATATATTATTTTAATATTATTTATTATTATTATATTATATATTTTCTAATATATAAAAATATAGTTTTATAAATTAAATTAAAATATTAATTTTACTTTTCTAAAATCTCGAAATAAATATTTTATCATATTTTAAAAAGTATTTTTAAATTATTTTCTTTTTTTTAAAACTATATAAAAATTTAAAACTTAATATAAAACTTGATTATTGATATTTTTCGAAATTTCAAACTTTTGATTAATAATAATAATAATAATAAATACAAAAAACTATTTTTCAACTATATACATTCACTCTAATATAGGTTTTTATTTTATTATTAATATTTTAAAATATTATTACTCAAAATCAATTAATATTCAAGTGAATATTTCAAATCTTTCAAATTCCTGAAATTATTTTTTAATAAATATAAGATTCTATTATACAAATTTTAAAATCATTATAATAATATTTGAATTTAATATCGATTTTTAGTTTAATAAATCAAATTGTGCAAGATACAGGGTTGTGCAAGATACAGGGATATCGGTTAGCTAGGCACCACTTCAAATTTTGCGCTACTGATCTGATTACACCGAAGTTTATCCATATCAACAACATCGAAACCAAGTACTGGTTCTACCTAATTATAAGAGCTCTAGTTCAAGATATCTTGAAAGTGTATGTTGAGCTAGGAGCAATTCAAAAGTCCTATCTCATTTGTTTTGGTGAAGTCAACATACAGTTAGTAAAGTACAAGTTAGCTGCTATCTGTATACCTACACTAGGTAGATGAATGACTATCAATCGAATGGAGCTTCCGTGAGTTTCTACAAGCATTTCCAATAGTAGACGAATCAAATAAGTCTTTATATTTTCATATCAAGTTTTCTGGTGTATTTATGCATATCTTCATATTTCATCAAGATACTTAGAACAAGTAATTACTTCTATTAAGAAATCACATTAAATCGATAATCCCTCTGAGTTTGATATCATTTCTGTCGTATGAATAGAAATGAACTTGGGATTCATGCTAGGTTCAGATATCTACGCATGCTCTCGCAATTCTACCTTTCAGCGAATACAATAGCCCTGGAGATCTATGAGCACTCCAAGAAAGCTTCATTCAACTCCCCCGTTTTTCATCTAATATAGAGTGGCAAACTACTGGCTAGATAGTTCTGTGGTCACAAGAAATTTGAGACGCGACGACACTACATAACTGGCACCCTCTTCTTCTAGGTGATTGTGACATAGTTTTGCAACGGGCGTTGAGGAATTCGTCTAGTGATCGAAATGGCAGAGTGACGATGTAGCTCCAGTATTCTCCGGTTCTTACAGTCTTTCCGATCCGGGTAGATTTTACATCGAACTTTAGAATTATTTCCGACTACTTGTGTTACTGAAGTCACTATGATACATACTATCAATGACTAAAGACATCATTATCTCGATTACTCATTTCTTCTTCACATACATAAACATCCTTTAAGTCTTTCCAAGCGTGTGAATCGTTAAGATCGCCATTCCAAAGAGAAAAATAAGTTGTGTACATATGAAATCTACATGATCGGAAGCATCCAAGAAGAACGAAGCAACAGAAAACACCCAAACCCCATGCACTTGAACTTTGTGAGAACATCTCCCTCATCCAACCAGTCAAACACCAGAGGAAGTATCCGAGAGAAAAAATCAACAGAAAACACCCACATCCCATGCACCTGAGCTTCGTGAGAACATCTCCATCTCCAGATATACTTGATAGGTACAAGTCCTAACATAAAGTTCACACCCAAACAGACGACTTTGCAGCGAATCAAAAAGCTACGACGTGGGAGTTTGAAGGTGCAGAAGCATGTATGTAATATGGAGATGTCTGGAGACGACAATAAGATAACTTTGCAGTATTTGACCAGATTCGCGATAGGCAATTTACTGAAAAAGTACTCCATGAATTCAGACAATGGGATTAAGAGAAGTAAGAAACCAGAGGTTTAATCATTCCACATCGAATAGAGATCGGGAGAGAGTAGAGATCCCCGCCATGAAACATGAGCGGCAACTCAACGATCAAATTGAGTGGGATAACTCAATTGAATTTTATCCAGAATTTCATCGCTGCATGAATCCCGCAGCTGCGTGGAAACTAATGGAGTGAGCCAAATGAGCATACATAAGCCAGATCATACGAGAAAGCCCCCCTTTTCTTTTAAAGAGAGGAAGGGAAACAAGCGAGTGAAGTTGAGATGCACTTAGTTGGATGCGGGACAGAATTACATGGACCTGCATTTTCTAGAATTAAGCAAATGTGTGAAATAAGCAAACTATGCAAAATTCAACGCATCGACTTTCAATGCTATCCAGAAGAATCGTATGCAATAGTAGAATAACAAAACAAAAACGATAACACATCTCTCATTCCCTGTCTGAAGATATCAAAACAAATATGGTTCTACTAGCCAAGTCTTCTCACCCGGCAGATCCGCACGCATTCTATCCTGCTACCAAAAGTCAAAACTAATCTATCCAAGCCGATTCTCGTTTCTCCGGTCGAAAGGTAAGCAAGAATATCGCTTCAAATCAGATCTATCGACTCAACATCTAACCCCCCATTACAAAGCGCAGAAAACCCGGGCTCTCATTCTCCGTCCCCTTCCCCATTCACACCAGCACCCACCCATCTACAACTTCGCCTTCACACCTCCTTGCGCCTTCTTCAAAATCGGCTCCATCTTCGTCGCCTTCATCACATCTCCCTTGACCTTCAGTTTTCCCCCCATAAAAAGTCTCTGAGCATTCGCCTTTCCCGCGACCAATTTTCCGAAATCCTCATCGCTCAGACTCAATGTGACTGTTGGTTTTTCTCCAAGTCCTGTTCCGACTTTGCCCTCCTTCTTCAAATCGATGTGCCAGTCGGCTGTTTCGCCCGCTTTGTTCTTGAGAGTGAAGGCAAAGACGGCATTGCCTTGTTTGATGGCGTCGGCGCGGTCGGTGGGAGATGATTCGAGGGAGGAGGAGATGGCGTCGAAGGCTGCGGAGGAGGGGAATGCGTCTGCAGATTGATGGGTTAGTAAAGGGACAGTGTGGAAAGGTAAGGTCCGGAAATGAAGGAGCTTACCGTTCTTGAGAGACATGATTGTAATTGCTGTATTGATAGAGTAGTCTTGCTTTAGTTTTGACTTATTTCAACTATGTGATGTAAGAAGTATCGATCGATAATTTGAACAGATTTTTAGATTCGCCAAATGGTAAATGATATAATTGTATTCAACAAATTCAGGTACGGGAGTAAGGTACTTAAATGAAGTCCGCAAGCAGTAACGGTTGTTCACGAGTCGCAGGGTCGCATCCACACTAGCATGTGATAATGACCGAGGTCCGGCGAATGACACTAGTCTTGTTTCGGTAAAATCCGGGGAAGCTCATGACATGCGCGATATTCACGAGGAAATTTATGATTTGAGATTCCAGTTGGGATTGTGGGGAAGAAAGTTCGACTATTTAGGAAAGTAGAAACGTTTAGTGTCATAGACTTTTCGTGGGTAATATATATAGGGCCGAGGTGCATGTATCATTCGTGTTAGAGGATTGAGCCAATAGACATTTTAAGGAACACATTAAATTTTAGCGAGCCTGGTTTGAATTTTAGTTTGATATTTATATTTTCTATCTAGTTTCTAAGTACCAATCTATCAAAGTTGGAATAAGCACATAAGTGCATGTAGCTCCGAACTAAGTGCACCAAGTGACGTGAGTACCCCAAGTAGTAACGAAAGTAGCTATCGATCATCAACGCCTTAACAACCACCAATTCTTGCCCAGACCACGCCAGCCCATTCATAGGATCAAATTGTAAATCTCGCCCCTCCCAGTATTGAACGCCAATCTCACACTCATGTGGGTATTCTCGAGACACAACACAGCATAACCTCTCCCATAATAAGACTAACAAGACGCCAAGGGTATTCAAAAAGACGAGTGCTTAAGAATACTGCATGAGTTGAAGTATGTATTCATCACAATGTGGCAATGACTCGTGTATGTACTGTGTGTTTCCGTTCATTCCAAGATCACTAGTGGATAGTTCGTCACCGGAACTATGACTCTCCCCACTAAAACTTAATACACTCTGTGCAGGTCCGGGATTTGTCAAGGGATCGTGAACATTTGCAGAAGCCATATCGTCCCAAAAGGTAGTTGAAGACCAATCCTCATAACTCGAATTTGAAGGTGCACTTTGAGTCGTCCCCGTCAGACTAGGCGGTGGTCCACCATAGATAGCACTGTGTATGTTGCTTTCACCACTTTCTAGGGAAGCGAGTATAGCCCATTCGTTTTGTTGATTATCAATCTTGCTGTACATTAGGTGAGAGCTGTGAGAGCTTGATACTGGAGGAGCAGTGCGCGAAATCGTTGGTGAAGATTGTTGTGAAGTAATTGGCGTATTGCTCAAGGATAAATAATCCAGATTCGGTGGTTTTGTATTTGTGTTATATCGAGGCTTTACTAGTTGGGAGAGGGAGCTGCGATTTTCGCGTTTGGTCATCGGAGAATCGGTCCTTGTTCCGTCATAGGATGATCGAGCCGATGCCTGGTTTTGTGAAGTGTGATTGTATAAATTTGGTAACGTAGCTCGTCGAATCTTCTCTTGTTGTGCTAATATGTCATTCTCGCTCATGCTAGCATTAATATGTGTATATGGGTGTTGTTGATTATTTTTTCTTGGAAAGACCGAGGTGGATGGTGTTGGCTTTGAAATTTTTGGGGCAGACATAGCCGAAGAAGTGCGTAATAGTGCCGACTTGGTTCTACAGTCTAGACTTTGACTGTCCAAAGTAATCAAAGACGAGGCAAGTCTCTTAAAGTCGGTTGCACCAGGAGCATTGGCCTTTTCTAGGAATCTGATAACCGTTTTGATGAGTCGTTGACTTTCTTGCATCAGCTTACCTTCCTGTTTAATATCGAGACCTTGATACAGAAGGCTTAGGCCACACAATGTAAGCATTGCGTTTTTATTTATGCAGAATGAGAAAGTCATATTTCTTTCTTCGAGGAGCTGTGTGATTTGTATGAGATGTTTGCTAGAATCAGCCAAAGCAATGACGGATGGTGAAGTTTTAGATCCCAGGGAGGAACCAATAGCAGGGCGGTGAATCAACGATCGAATATAATAAAAAGCAAGAGACTATGATTTGGTTAGAGTAAACTCAAATTTACACGCCATTGTTTGACTTACCAATAAAGCTGATCGACTGCCTGTAATATCTGTTGATGGTTTATCTTGAACAAATGTAAGCTTCAGATGAGTCGGTAAACTATCAGACCATTCGTTCAAGTCAGCCACCAGAGCAAAAAGTGTCTGCAACGATAGGTCATGAGTTGCAGCTGAGGGATAAATTTGCTCCAAGACTTTAGACAGGATGCGTGAGCATCGGAACAGAGCAAGAGCACTAGAAATTCTAGTAGGTTCCCCTGGAAGCATGGGTTGATATCCTTTCTCATTCATATGTTCATCATCTATATCCGAGGGATACTCCGCGTAGATATCGTCTTCCCTTAACAATTTAGGGAGGCCAAGGAGGGAAGCAGAAAAGCTATAGGAGATTAGCATTGCAATACAACCTCTAGCATAGTTCTTACCAATCAACAGTATACAAAGTCCAAAACACCCTCTTTCTCGTCTCAGCAGTCAACAAATCAAAAGAGAATCGCTTTTGACTTTGATGTAAACCGAGTCTGTGCGAAAGACCAACAGCAATTCCTTTGTAATGCTGTAGGCTATTATAGTCCCCCTTTTGAATGCAGTAAATAAGTGCTAAAATCAAACACTGCAGTGTTGAGATGTTGTTCTCCATCAAAATAATGTTGAGCGCTGTGCGCCATTGGTTCTCACATAATGATATTTGTTCCTTATCGGGACAATCGGTAGAGAGACCAGCGATACTAAAGACAAGGTGTAACTGAGCCAATTTATGTTGGTCTTTCACTTGATGCGGATTTGATGAATATTCATCGTATAGAGTTAAGAAACTATGTTTGTGTATGACGGGAAACAATGGTGCCCATTCTTGGAAAAAGACGTTTAGACATTTGTCTGAGAATAAGCGTGGGGGAGCGAAACTTGAGGCAGGTGTAATCGTTGATAACGAGGTGGATTCATTTTGGGGGTTCAAAAATGTTTCTGTGTCAAATCCTACGAAAGACTTGCCGCTGTCTTGGATTTTACGCTTGCAGATATCTAGAAAGATATTAGCGAGGTAAACCTTACATGATTTTTTGAAGTGATTTCCTACCGACAAAAGATCTTCCACTTGATGCTCCCATGAAATATAAGTTGGAACGATCGCCTTCCAATAAATGGGGTGAAGCTTGGACCTTAAACATGTCTTCCTTCGGAGGTGATGACTCTTTTCGACTTTCGACAGGAGGTGAAGCTGACGTTGAAGACAGTGAAGTACGTCGATTGTCGTGCATCTTCGAGAGCATATCTATCTTCTCATCCTTTCCATCAAGTAATTCTTTCATCTCCCTTATTTCTCCCTCTAACGTACGAACTCTCTCCTCTAAAGACTCAGTACTACAAGACTGGAAGTCAGCAATTGTGGACGGAAGATTGTTCATAGAGAAGGAGGAACCAATGCTATGCTAGACAATCAAATACCGAGAAAGATATGGGTAACGACCGTAGGTATGAAAGACGGTTAAACTCACTATCCTCTAGGAAATGCTCGTCGACTCAATTTATCGCTTGTCTTACATTCGAACCCAACACCAGAACACTGTGAACAACATGGTCGAATGCCATCGCAGCGTATCTTTTTGCTTCGACATCTATCGCAGGCTTGGGCAATCCGACTTTGCGAACTCGACGAGCCCACCTTTATGATCTTCATGGGCAAGATTCCGGGCATTTCGAGGATAATTTTCCGCCCTCTTTCAATGTTGTGTTGTTGAGCAAGAAGTGGTAAATGTTATTTGCGTCTTGAAGAATAGGTTTCGGTACGTTTTCGGCGATGCCGATATGCTCAACGTTGGTATGTTCAGCTTATCTTTTTTTGCGATCGGGGGTCAATTATCCAATGTAACATTGAGCGGCTTCGTGATAAACCTTAACATTCATTGAGAGGACTGATTTGCCAATCGTGAATGGAGTGGAGATAGTGGAGATGTGATACCTGTATGTGATGTTCTAGGTATGTTCTATGTCGTTAGATGAAGAAATACTCGCTCGGATAAGAGGGTGAAGGGGTTGCATATAAACGTGTTTGAAGGCAACTAAACTGAAAGGGCCGGATCCTTATAACAAATGGGCATGGAGAAGGGATCTGGGGCAAGGTACTTTGGTACACTGTCGGTGTTCATTCATCCGTCCAATAACAAACTACTTTATTGACGGTCGTATGATTGTGATTGGGTGGTAAAATGATTGACTGCATAACCGGCCGGTGGATTATCCACAAAGTCAGAAACCCTCAGACTAAAGAGAAAGTTTTTTGCGGGGATGATCTGGAGGAAGGTACGCACAGAGGCACGGTACCTACAGGGTGTACAGGTAACACGATGGGTCATCTTGGCTATCACCAAAGCGGCCAAACGAGCATGATGATTTCCTTAGATCTGGGTAGGTGACCTATTTTGGATGTGTCGGTTTTGCATGGCTTGCGGTTTGGTACAATCTTGAAGATTTGCGAGAGGCATCGATATAGATACCAATGTCTACATAGGTATATTTATCAACTTTCTTCTTGGCGATCGTTGCACTACAACGACTTGAGCACTTAGCAGTCACTATCGAAACTTAGTTGTACCGGTACGTCAACAAGCACACATACCGATTGAAGAGAAAAGAAAAGTATTTGAATTCAGACTTTTCAAGGTGGACTAAACGTACCAAAAAGTATTGCCATCGTTCCAAACTACCTATGTGAGGTTAGTAAGTTACCCCAGAAAAGGTTATTCGATTAGTGTTATAGGTCTACTGTTATATCTCCTCGTAAATTTCTTTGCGGGGTTTATAGCAAGATGTTAATGCGAGGGTTCCGACAATCATACAGTCCTTCGCTAGCAAGATTAGGTAAGATATACTACATAACGTCGACGTTAACACCCGAATTTCGGACCTCATCACCCTATCTATATATTGAACATCAAGAGGCGGCTGATTACACCTTGATATAAAATAACAATAATACAGAGTTATTACGATTCTCCCCCATATTCTCTAATTAGGCTAATTGCGTCATATCTCAAACTCCGAAAATGTTAAATACCTGTTAAAAGAACAGCGTCATGTGAACCATTTGTTGACCCTTCATTTGAAAATGAACTTTGACTTTCATGGCTAGTAAGGAAAGATCAGCAATGCCCGAATCCTTGGGAACATCATTAATGGTACTAGTTTTTAGTTGTTAAGCAATTGGCAGGTTGGCAGGCTAGCAAGGAGGCACAGAGGAAATAATCGCACACGCACGCTTATCTTATACGCTTTACAGATGCCGTCTTGTTCCAACAATTATAGATGTCCGCAGATATCTCTTGGTCGAGCATTAGACAAATACTCTCGTAATAATTGCCGACGCCTTGACTCGTGCTGATATTAGTTGGATTCGGCGATATACGGAATTGATTGCGCCTCAAATCCCACTAATCTCACTAGCATTCAAATCATAGGCCAACTCGTGCTCCCCGAAATCGAGGTTCTGGAATTCTTCTCTGATAATTGGTACAAAAATGCGGTGTATTTACCGCATTTTACTACTAGTTTACATATATGATACGAATGCTTGACCCCTCCGGACATTATCCAGAATCCGAACTATAATCGTATATTCACCCTTCGCACATAAACGTAAATCGTTCCGAAAGAACAATAATAACTAATTGGATTTCTATCCAATAAAAGATGTCTCTATCTCACGTCGTTTGTCGAATTCACAGGCCCTTCCAGGATATATTTCTCAGCATGCGGGAGAACTGTAGTTGGGAGACAATGTGTAACTTTTTCAACTAAAGTCGTCCTCTTCGTTGCTTTCTGCGCTGGGATCATCATGTTTCGTATCCACTTGCACCGATGTCAGAAGTTGAGAAATACTTGAGACTTTGGACAGATTTGATATCTATGAGCACTATTAGCATATCTAGAAGACAACAAACACAAACAAATACAACAAACCTCTTCATTGATAGCCCCATAAGCAACGCCTAATACGTCGGTCTCTATCTGTCTCAACTCCAATGCATTGGCTTGAGTATTGGGGTCGACCGTCTCCCCGTCCAATAATGTTTCCACTATTTCTTCGCTTGCTTGAAGACGCTCTAATTGCAATTCAATCCTATCTCGCATCAAATTTAGCGCTCGAAACTTGAGAATATCCTCGCGTTTGTGACCACTAATTAAGCTCTCAAATTTATCAGTAGATTCTGTGACGTCTACATCTTGCCAGAAAACCTTCAACGATTGTGAGCCATCAACTTCCTGCACAGTTTTGAACTCCAAGCCGTCTTCTTCGTTCAAACACGCAAGGTAAACAAATGGACAATCCCATGAAGTTTCTCCGTTCGAATGGCCAAAGATACGAACGGATGGGCGTTTTCCAAATGCAGCAACCTTCGCTACACGCAAAGGATCAGTTGCTATTGGCTCTACGTCCAGAATTAATGATGTCAAGGGAACTTCTGAGTCGATAAAACCATAATTGAAGAGATTCTCGGCATCACTCTTGACTCCATAACTAATGGTTATTTCACTTCCTTCATCCAAGAGTATATCTGATGCAAGGACAAGTAAGGCATTGCCATTCGTCGTGTGTTCCCAATGTGCATTGGGTGTGAATGAGTGATTAACCATGTCAAGAACAGGCACCATCACTTCTTCACCATTTTCAATTTCTAGACTTCTTGATCTGTACCAAGCATCAACTCGTATCCAGTCTGACAGTAGTAACGGTTGTAATGGACCATCTTCTTTCCACCAACACGAGTGACACCATGGTATTTGGATGGTCTTCTCGCGCAGATTTTCAAAATCTCGTGATAACGCGACCATTTTGTTAGCAAGAGAGTTCTGAGAAAACAATTAGCAAGTCCCACGATGGCAATCATTGTTCGTTTTTATCATACTTCTAGAGACGTTCCACTCAAAAAAGTTTTCTCTTCTTCAGTCCACATGGTTGGAACTGGGATCTTCTCTGGCAAGAACCTTATATATTCTGACCACGGATTGTTCACCCCGACATTGAGGGCAGTTGCTGACTGCACATTCGTATTATTCCTTGCAATAGTCATCTGTAGCAATAAGAATAACCTCGCGTCTTCTCTAATCGACTTTCCCCCAACTGCTTCTCTCAACTGTTTGAAATGGAGATCTACCCTCTCCATTTCTAACAGAAAATCTTTACCTAGGATAAGGTCACTAGGGATGTCGAGTAACGTGGGCAGATCATGCGCATCTACTGAGCTCAGCGTTTTTGTAGTGATAATACCATTTGGCAGGCTGGTGTTTTCTCCTTGTATGCATATCTTAGATGAGGAAACAAGAGTATCGAGGAAATCTACATTGTTCAACTTGCACCAGGCAGGTAAGGAAGAAAGAGGAAGAGGAGCAAAATGCATTTTCGCCGGACGTGTATTTAACGTAGCAGTAAAGTTATTTGATAGCAATTTGCTTGAATAACTTTCATTCGATTTCTGAAACAATGAAGGACAGTAGTCTAGTGCTTGTTTGTTTGTTATAGTATTGCAATTTCTATCATTAGAGTGTTCCTGCCGCCAAAATCTCAATTGTTTTGCCAGAAGGCGGTGAAATGGCTTGTTCTAATTCCTCCACTCCAGATTGGGACAATTGATCGTCTCCAGGGCTCTCCGCCGTTCACCATCTTCGACGAGACCTGGCAAGTAGAAAGTATTCATCAGCATCTATATCGATCGGCTACTATGCAATTCTCCCTCCTATACATCTCATTTGTGCATCAAATCATCCCATCCTCACTCAAGCTTACCCAGCATCTCTACTCTCATAATACGATAGTCTAGTACACCTCATTATCCAACAATCTCATGCTCAGATCCTTTCAATCAAACACGCCCCTCTATAACACTCTCCTGATAGTGACTCGTCCAAAGAATGAAACGACAATCACTTCCCCGTCCGAACCTTCATATCAATACCCATGCACCTTTTCCCTCCCCCTTCCAGTTCACTAATCCTTCTTATCCAAACTCATCTCACCCCCCCAACTCCAAGCCTCTCAATAAGTGGCCTTCCACGACGAGCCGCCCAGCTCTACCCCTCATCAACAAGCCCGCCACTCCCTTAAGCGTAGTTCACCAATTCACACCTGGGCAATCCATGGCTCCACAACCATCATCACCTAGCCGAAGCCTTCGTCCAAGAAAAGCCACCCGCCCAGCCCTCAACGGGATCAGCACAATGGAGAATCTACTTCTCGCTAGGCCTTTCCTTCCCCGTTCCGCCCCCCATGCAGGACTCGGATTGGAATGCAGTGTCGTGTACGTAGAAGATGACGAGATGTTGAGATAGATGATGCATATCAAGTAGAAAAAGAATTCATACGTATTTCCACAACTCTACTGTGTTGATTAACCCCCAGTGCTGCTGCAGTCAAGCCTTTCATTTTCTTTACAAAATGAAGACCCAGATGTGAGGAATTCGACTTTATTCGGAGCCCTCTCCGATCATCTTGCCATCACACCTCAAATTACTTTCCCTTCCCTCCTCACCTCTCCCAAGCCCAGGCCGAAGCCCAGGCCCAAGCCTAAGCCCAAGCAATGCCATGTACGTATCTAATCTCACCAGACCAGGCAGAAGCTTTAAAACACATGAGTTTCCGCTCTACCCGAATTTTGAATTACTTATCCCGCGATACTACTATATGCAATGTAACAGTACTGAATATGCAAGGAAAAATGGCAGGTATGGTGGACCGTTGAGATAACATAAGGTATGATAAGCGCAACAGGGTTAGTTGCAATGAGGAATGGATAGACGTGAAAATTTAGATACTATGATACAGAAACGACATTCAGATGGACGCATGAGTAATTTAAGATAATGATAAGTACTAGGTAGTGTATGAACTAGACGAGTGTAGAGAGCAGAAATTCTTCAGGTCTGAGTGCTTCAATAACCATTGTAATCTGCAATGGTTTATTCAGCATTGATAGTAGATGTGGACCCCTCAAACCGTATCCAAATACCCAAGTCAAATTCTCGTGCCAGATCACGTCAGATCTCCCATACAAAGTATCTAAATTGTATTTTCTTCCATTTCTTTTCCATACGCCCATGTAAGTGCGAAAATAACCTAAACCTCTCTATCCATCACCATCATATCCCAAGCGCCGCCCCTTGTATCGTATAATATACCTTCCTATTACCCCTACCTCTTCCCCTCACCCTCTACTCAAACTCAATTCTCTTTCCCCTCAACCCCGCGAACCCTCCAACAAACTTCCCAACCACATACCCCCCAAATGCTCCAGTGACAACGGTAACAGGCCATTTCTGCCATTCCCTATCCCAATCCAAAGGAATAGGTACTGCACCCAACCAAGCACCAAGCGCACATCCTAATGCCGCACCGAAAACTTCATCAATTGGCGCATACAATGATGCTACTTCGAGCCATCGAACTGAATCCACACCATGGATGTAGTAGAGGGGGAAGAGTGCTAGAAGCGAGATGTGGGCGGAAGAAAGAAGTGTATGTTCGATGTGGGTGGTGAAGGGAGCGCCAAAGAGGATTTGCAGAGCTGTGACGGCAGGGACGGTTGTGGCTGTTAGAATGAGAGCGAATATGGTAGTCTATTAGGCAAGAATATTAGTAATTGTACAATCATATCACTTGCAGCCAATATTCAAAAAGAAAGACGTACAAATATCTTATGATTATACTCTCCGCCCTCCAATCCCTTTCGCTTCTCTCCCGGCTTCAATTTCTTCGCCATATTTGACCCAGCAGCTGGTAAACATACAACGGCATAGGCTACCTGCAACAATGCGACAGGCAACAGCGAGTGTAATAAGGTGTGTACTGGGTCTGCGACCAATGCATTGAATCGGAAATAATATGCAGATAAAAGGATAGCTGGCTGGATGTGGGTGACGATACGAGCCATATCTGAAGAAAGGAACTCTGTGGGGAATGATTTGGATTTGGAGGTATCTCCAGATACTGGGTTGATTCCGGACATGGTGACAGGATCGATCAATGGCATTTCTGGTGTTGTCAATTTCGAGATGTAATTTATTTTTGGGATTACGAGCTTCGTGTTTTAGAGCTCCGTCACTAGCGTCGGCATTTTTCGGTAGGGTGCCGAAGAAGTTTTAATATTGGAATTTAAATGCACCATAAAGTAGGTACTAGTAGGTAGTAGCTTGGAGATATTGTAATTTGAGAATATTCATGATTTATTCTGGCCATTTTTTATATTTTTTGGAAGCTTTGGAGCCAATGTTGCGACACTCAGGCAACCCTTTGCTTCTTGACATAGCTCGTAACATTCGTAATAGCAATAATTTACCCAGCTCCCTCCCTTCTCGTGATATCGCAGAACCTTACAAGTAATCTTGAAGTACTTCTCCCTACTCTCAAGATCTTGTCCATGTATAGCAACTTCTTAGCAGCAGGAATCTTCAGATCTGCCTTCTTCTTGTGATATCGAGGAACCATCCAAGCAACATTTCAACCGATCATCCATCGCTCAAGATGAAGATTCAGGTCTAGCCACCAAATTTCTCAACGAAAGATCATAGACAATATCCTCAATCTTCTTCACATTGTACTTGATACCATCACTTCTTCTCCTCAGAACATCATTCTTCAAATTGAGAATCTGGAATCCTGCATGTAAATCCTTAACGAATTGACTGATTTGTAGAGGTCTCTGGTAATCTCCGAGAGTAACGGAATTGATAGCCAGTCGTGAAAGCTCTTCGATCAAGGAAATGAGGGAGAGGAGGTATTCTTCGATACTGATGTGGAATGCGTCTCGGTCTTTGAGGTTGACGGGGACTATTATCTCGTTAGCTGTGCTATTCATAGAGAATCTGTGTGCAAAGTACCTTGGAGAATCTCTCCTACTTCCTCAATGGTGAGAAGTCTTCCTGACCGAGCAGGCTTTCCATCTTTGTTCAAACCCCCCAGCCATCCGCAGAGAAGAATGGCAAAGATCACATTCTGCACATCTCTTGTCCAGATCCCATTATACCTATTCTTGTTAGTGAGGCATTTCATCGTAGAATCCGCAGCGCATACTTGTAATATGGATGGTTTGAAGCAATGCCCGCAAGCTTTTGAATACTTTCAGCTTCTTCCTTTATGGCATTCTCTGCAGAGACAAGAACGGGCTGCACTATGAAATATTAGATGAATGGGTTTTAAACAGCCAGCTTGGGAAGACTTACAGTGAGAAGCAGGTGTGGAATGAGCTCGAGATAAAACTGACTGAGCATTTCTGCATTGCCTCTCCAATGTTTGTAGAATAGCTTTCAGTTGATCTCTTACTTCCGCATCTTCATCAATCTTAGTTTGTAGATCTTCAAAGATCTTTGGGTCAACCATTCCATTGAGATCCGACATTTTACTTGAAGATTATTGGAGGGGTAATGTGGTGGGGGTTTACTTTGTAGATTTGCTTGAAAGGTTGAGCTTTGAAGAATAAATTTCACGTCACACAAGCAAAATATTTTACCATCAATACGAATAGTACATTTCACAACGCGTCAGTCATGGCATCAATATCGCGTACGCGGGTTTGAACGCAACGCAACGCATACGATAGAGATAGAAAGGTTCAAGATAAGATTTATCATGATTCGTGATGATATTAGATTTTACATGCAACTACAGCTACGAGATTCAACACATGCCAGTTGCCAGAACAGCATTTGAACCCACATAACTGATCAATAGCGCGCGTCAAATAATCTCATTACCGCGACTCTTGATAGAAAGCATTCTATTCAAAAGAATTTACCACTTCCATAAACACAGCTGAAGACCAAATCACTAATACTCTTCTTTACAGTCCAGGCAAGCCCAAATTTGTAATGAAAAGAAGTTGTTCGCTTCACCTGGAGGCAGTGTAATACCAGGGAAACTGTGGGAATGATCATGCGCAAGCACAGCGGACCAATCCCGAGGGACAAAAATAAGTATAATCAATGTGACCGTCTATGACGATCTTTCAGAGATTAAACTGAAAAGAACAGATACTACACTTGATCTAAGCCTATAGAGAGAAAGTCTTGTTAGCAAAAGACTCATGAATATGAAGAAGAGTGTAAAAAGTAGGGCGTTACTTACCAATAGGCAAAGAGAGCTAAGGAAAAAAAAAAAAGATGAATCAGGGAGAGAGAAGACGTTTATATAGATGCTGGGTAGTGGCCTGTGCGCACTAAAGAAGAGGCCAGTTGGTGCAAACATGTTTGACGAAGTAACAAATGTGACAAACAGCCTTGACCGCCCGTTCTGCCGTATGGACGTGTATGGTGCACGTACTAGGCAGCAAAAAAGACCTCTTTCTGTCAACAACCTTTGGTCAACCTCTCCATTCGAAATGATCCGCTTCGTATGTGGTGTAATGAGAAAGTTATACTGTATGGACTACCTCATGTGTATACCTAGGCCCTTACTAGGTAAGTAAATCATGTTCAACTGAACTGCTCAAGAAGAATTATACAACCTCATTCATTCTACTCGATTTACTCCTTACGAGCCTACTAGTAGTTCAGCTACAAAAACCGCGATGAAGCTGGAGCTCGTAGTACCTATTTGGATGCAGAGTCCTTCGAATGCGCATCCCCAGTCAGATGATATATGAGCTTCACGTGATTAAGATTGATGGAGTCCACATCTACAACAACCTTTGCATGCAGACTTTGTACACTGCTTATTAGATAAGTTACTGATGAATATCCATTTCAATTTCATATGTACGATTGATCTGTTTCCGTAAAGTTGCTCGCCAGGAGGCTGCCCAGTTTGATTTCATTGGCGTAAGGCAGAGGTAATATCTATTGGATTTGCAGACACCATAATAAAAACTAATCTCTGTCTCAATTGCTCGTTGCTATAAGCATTCCGATACCCGCAGACCAATTATGCTTGGTCATGATATTCTATTTTGTATCTATCACCTTCATCAGTTACAAAAAGAGTTGTCTCTCGTCCTTTTCAAAATGATTTGATTCGCATACCTTCTCAGATTCACCAGCAAAGCGTCTCGACCTCCCCCACTTCTCCGCTACCACGCCTAGTATCTTCTTGAAGATGTGTATTAATATTGGCACCATTATATCTCTATTGTCTTCTTCTACTTCATGAATCCCGCTTTTCACCTTCCACATTCTCCCACTCCAGATTTGCTTTCTTTCTATTTACCTGGCACATTGAAGCCAAACTCATCTCGACGTTGAGATCACGTAGTTCTCAACCGGACTCAGACACTGCATTAGTTGAGACGCTAAGTGTAGTAATGAAAGTTGGTATCAAAGGTTGCTGGTCACTTTGCTCTCTCCACGTTCAACACCTATCATATCTCAATGCGTATTTCCAATGGTAGCCTTGTTAAGTGAAGAGTCAGTCATACTTAGGTAGATTCTTCATAAGACATTTCGACCGAGAGATCGACCTCTTCCTCTCCAAACCCCGCAGATTTCCAATAGTTCAGGCTAGCGGGCTGGGTAACCCTCTCCACCAGTATGAGCCACTGCAACATCCAGAATCTATTTGGAGTTTTGTTCGGTCTGAATATTGGAATTAAATTCAAACATTGAAAGTCATCGATTGTCGGACTGCAGCCTGGACCCTGCTTGTACAATCGCTGCAGTAGTTCTTGCATCTCCTTCTATATTATTAGAAGTAGGCGTTGATGGAATTGATTTTATAATCTCCATCTTTTCGTTTTATATCGTCGTATGACCAGCCATGACAAAATATTTTCTGAACTTCTCATGCTTTCATTCCATATTTTGGTTCATTCCTTCCCATTATCTCGCCCGTTCTCAATTTCACCTTTCATAACACTTGCTTTGATAGGCTCACTGTGTTCGAGTGTTTTTAAAGGTTTCTGTCAGATCAGTTTTTGGTACGATGCCAGATGTAGTACTCATTCAAGAAATTGCATTTTCTTTACTATCAAACCTTCAGCTCTCCCAAGATAGCATCTTCCGTTTCCAGTGCTATGAAAAATTCTATTCTTCTGTCAATTCTAGAAGCATAGTTTCATACACAATCAAAAGTGAAAAATGCATAATTATGTTTACTTCCGAGGGACAATCGTTCGCCAGTCACCCTATTTAGATTATTCAGAATAATTTATTTCGACTTATTGTCTCACTGGTTGACACCGAGATCTGGTTATATTTTCGGGATTCACTTTTACGCAAATGAGAATCTGGAGAGCTCTTGAGGATGATAGGGTTGATCGCTAGTACTGATAATCAGGTAAATCAAACCTCATTATTTCGTCTTTTTTTATATTTCGGCTATTGCAATTTGAAGTCAGTTTAGCTCGAGGTTTCTACGATTGATTCATCATTAAAACGAAGATATATGCTTTATCGCTTATCACACTCTATAATTTATAGTATGAGTTTTTGAACAAATTTAAAACACAAATCATTAACATGAAATCTGCCGGTGTTATCGATGAGTTTCGGTTTGAAAAGACGTTTGAGTTGACGGGCGTTTTTAACAACCTAGGCGGAACCAATTAGGATTCGAGCAGCTGTGAAGTAGAATTCCATGAAGAATTGAGAAAAACTCTAAGGATACTCGACCTCAAATACTATACGCTAAGGGTGACATCTGACATCATATAACCTGAGAGGCCTCGCTTCCCAATGCGTCTCTGCTGATAGCAAGTCTGATCGAGTAGAGTACAGATGGAGCAGCACTTACGCCTAAATGCCAATACGATATGATACTCTGTCCAGAGAGCTACTCTGTGGATGTGTAGGGTTAAGCAATCTTGGCTCAGTGCTCTCGCTTAGTCTACTGAATAAATGGCTCAAGGAAATTCATCTACCTACTTATGACATGATGATTTTCTCTCTACCTCTAGGGAATTTATCGTTGAAAGTGATCTATATATCAGGTTTCATCAAACTTCACTTTCAATCAACTCAATCTTTCAATCATGAAATATCCCTCATCAGTGAACCCATTTACAAAATTTTCATTAGAAGTGGATTTGAATATCACTTTCAATCATCACTTCGGTTAATCGAATTTTCCTGCTCATAAATAGCCTTCCCTCTCTGATTTCTTTTCACAAAATTTCTTCTCCTCTACACAGACAACCATCGATCCAACAATTCGATTGATCGTGGTTTGCATACACGACTCATACATTCTTCATCAATTCGAGATTGAAAGAGAAGCTTTTGAACACCTGAGGCCTTCTCCAATTCGATTCAAAAAAAAATCTGCAATCAGGACCTCTCTCTTTTCTGGCAGGTTTACCTCAATAACAAAACTAAACGTCGAAGAAGGCTCCTCGATAGTCTTCACTTTCTTTCAGTTGCCAAGCAAGAGAAAGATACATCCAGTAAGTGTCTCTTGAATTTCTTTTAACAAATACTCTTCAAGTAGCGCTATGCGTTAATGAGGATGTTGGGGTCTTAAATCTTCTACCTTTACCTCATTGCTTATCGGTTGCATACTAATGTTGCAAACATGATAGACAACATGACTTCAGAAATTCCTTTATTGCTCGGCCTTCCTCGAGACCGATGGACTCTCAACCTTTTAAGGGGCACTATTCAGGAGTTGGCCAGAGAGAATTACCGTATCGAGCTACATCGGCTAGGGGAAGCGAGACCGGTCCTTATGAGTCGGCTGGACAACCTACTGGACAGACTTAGACCAGATACTGTCAATATGCTCACCGAAAGACATAGGCAAAGAAACTGGCGTCAGGAAGATATCGTCAGAAATAGACGTGCTGCACGACCTATTGCTAGAAGAGTAGTACGTCGTCGTCGTCGTGTCGCAGTTAGAGCCAACAGACTTCAACCGCGAATCAGATTGAACCTTAGAAATAAGGAACCGCCTCTACCAGCAGGGGCTGGGGTACTGAACAACGCGATGCAGAATCCTTGCGCACAATCGGAGCTGTCTCTAGACGCACAGGCAGCGCGCACTTCACAAATACTACGGGCTGTTAGCGGACTTGTCGAACAACTTAGGGAACGCATCTCGGAGTTGGAGGCGATGAATGATAGATTGACGACCCAGTCTGCTTCTGCAGCCACGGCACGAGGAATAGAGGCTGATGGATTGATGGGACGTATTTCATAGTTGGAAGCGGCTAATAATAGATTGACAACCCAATCTGCAGAGGCAGAGACGAGACGAGCAGTAGAGAGGCCTATAGATTGATGGGAAGCATCTCAGAATTGGAGGCTGCTACAATCAGTATGCAGGAAGATAATATGCGCTTCGACGAGGGGACGGTCGGTGTTTCGGAATCCGCGCTGAGGGAATTGGTTGAAATCAATCGAGAGAAGAACGATAGATGGGCATTGTCTCGAGATGTGTTGCGTGGGCTTCTCAGTGATCGAATAAAAGTGCAATTGCTCGATGAGGTAGTCCGAGAATGGAATAGGGCTATTGCTGAGAGAAACGCTCGGAGACAGAGGGGACACCAGTAGTCGATGGGTCACGGGAGAGTGACTCAGTTCGGTCGATGAAGCAAGCTTTGGCGAGTTTATTTCAGCATTCATCGAGATTTTCATTATTGCATGGCTGGTCATTATGCTTGTTTACTAGTAATACAAGCAATGACTAGCTGGATAGATATATCACGTGGTTCGCTGGGTGGAATTTCTGCTTTCTGTCTCCTCAAGGGCTGCGAAGGATAGGTATGGCAATATTATGCACAAAAAGGAGAGTTTATATCATACAATGGATTAATCGCATCGACGATTTATCCACGGGAGCTTATATCAATGAGTTAGCTCGTCTATTAGTTTAGCTTCCAAGTTTAATAAAAGTGCTCTTATCGTTAATCGAAAACTCAAGATCAATTACAAATTATGCAGCTCCGAGTTGAAAATTCGGGTCTACCCCTCGCTGACTCACTTTGAGCTAAAAAAAAAATTAGTATTACTGCGTCTACCACGATACTTCAGGCTGCAGATATAGTCAGACTACCCGGTTCATCGATATTAGAAGCCTGTTGAAATCATCCATGGTGTCCATAGATCTCCTAAGCTTATCAAGGAATGGAGCACCACAGCCTACCTGGACGTTTAAATACAGCACAGATCATAAGGTTGTTTCATGCTCGGGCAACACAGCTAATATCAAGTTTGGCGAGAGTGTAGGTTTATACGACTACTTAATGGAAGTAATCATTCATTCTAAGCATTCTAAGGAGACTCGGACTTGAAGACGCACAGATTTGATTTATCTACCATTGGATGCGGTCGTAGAATCCCCTGGAAGCTCCAATTGGTCTCCAGTCCACCCCATTCTTGCATAATCCAGCTTCCTCGACTGTCGAGCTTGAATACCCTGTTTAAAATCATTCATTTAGTAACTATGGTCGAAGCAAATATTGTGATAAACGAACCTTTTCCACGGTATCCTCTACAATATATCTGAATATCTTGACATCCCTGTTCTGACCAATTCTTTGAACCCGGGCGATCGCTTGAGCTTCAACCATTGGATTCCACTGTGGCTCTAGTATGTATACATAATTGGCGACTGTAATATTGAGACTATGAATGTTAGTCTGCGGAGTTTACTCGGGAACCTAGAGAAACATACCCCTCTGCCCCTGTTCCAGTTGTCATTATGAGTATCCGTATATTTTCATCTGTGGTGTATCTTTGTAGGACGTCATATCTTTGTGCACGGGTACAACTCCCGTCTATTCGTTCGAAGGGCAGCCCGCAGAGCTTAAGATGATGCCCAACAAGGTCTAGCGATGTAGTCCAACAGGAAAATATGATACTGATGTTGTGTTAGTTCTGCATTTATACTGGGCTAGGTCGTCTTTCATACCTCTTGCCTCCTGTCTGATTTCGGTTTACATCCTTCAGAAGTTCTTTCATTTTGGATGCGATTCCCGTGCTCTCGAATTTGCTTGATGATGTCAATGAATGAGCCTTGCGTTTGTTTCCGACCTCATCGGCAAAGCAGACATTGTTGATCAATATCTGGGCACATAATGAACAACGTGAGTGAATATCATCTTTATCTGTAATGAGGGAGTTCCTGTATACAGAAACACAATCAAAGCATAAAAGATGTCCACAAGTAGTGAAGCGGCCACGATGGATGACACTACTGCCGAAGCCTTCGATCTCTACACTGCAATAGTGGCATTTAGACTCGTTCTTCTCTTGCAATAGTCCAAGGGCTTGCTCAGGATCAAACTGCGTATCAGTTTGAGAAATGGAAGAACATCTCTTCAGAAACGTGCCATGATTACAAAGCCGCCGCAGTTGTAATTGCAGCTGGAAGATTCCAAAGTAGCCTTTTTTATTTCTGCCTTGACTATCTTGTTGTTTCACGGCCTGTATTTCTTCTCGTCGCGTCGAATCATACAGCGAATTTTCTTCGAAAGAGAAGTAGACTGGCCGATATATCTCTACTATACTTGGTAGGTTTAGTAACTTTTTGGTACGTCGTAAGCAGATTGAGTCCAACAATGTTCGAAGATTGACAGCGCCTTCATCCTTTTCTTTCAGAAGTGGATTTATAATGTACTTCCGGAACACTGGAAGTTCATCTAGGGGCGAGGAACGAATAAAAGAAACCAAGGCCGCGAGGTCATCCAAACTGTTTTGAATAGGGGTACCTGTTAGACACCATCTTATGTTTGCAGAAAGTTGACTCATTGCTCGAAATAGCTTCGTCTTCATGTTGCGAATCCTGTGAGCTAAGAGATGGTAAATTAGCAAGAAGTCTACTACAGCCTGCCGGACATTGATCAAGTACCTTCGTCAAGAACAAGACGGAACCATTCAATACCATAGACTGGACTTTCTGGATCTAACGATTCCGCAGAGATTGTATCATATGTACTCAGTACGATGTCCGCTTCGATTAGGGGCTTACGGCTTGTCTCGCGCCCACGACCATGGTATATGTTAATGTTCACATATCCCCGACAGTGTCTATTGATTTAGCTTGAGTCTGGATGATTGAGCCCAGGTGATGTCTTACTTGGCGATTTCCTCTCTCCATCCATCGATGAGTACTATATCTATCAACTGGGGACAATTTGTGAAAGCAAAAGGTAGACGACATACAAGATGTTTGCACGATAACGAGTGTCGATTTTGAACGAACCTTGTATTTGAAGTTTTTGTCGTGCTCAAAGTCTCGAGGAGAATTATCAAAGAAGTCCTCCGCTTCTTTAGATGTCTGCATAATACTGGCAAGTACTGTCAGTGTCTTTCCGAGGCCCATGTCATCTGCCAGAATCCCCCCACCGCATTCGGTCGGACTATCGCCACGTTTGTGACCTGATATCCTGTGCTGATAACTCCAATATAGTTAGAATAGGAGAGGCCACGGTCTTATAACAACTTGATCAGAATCGGCTCACCAAATCTGGTTTTCGTATCTTTGCAAAGTCCACAAAGAATATTCATCAGGAATTGGACCAAGTTCCCTCTGCGCTATGAAGTCTAGTGCTTCTGCCTGGTGTCTACTCATTCGAACTCAATGATTACTAAAGGCAGTCACAAATAAAGGGAAAATAGCGTACTGCAGCAGGGGCGTTATTATCTTGATGCTTGCCTCGATCCTTTTCAGGTTCTGACCCCTTGTCAACGAATTCAAAATCTTTGTGACCTTCTTGTGAAGTTTTGGTTGAAGTCTATTATCGTCCCTAGCATCTATGTCGATGCCCAGAGAATATTCGTTTGTCGAATCGATAGCATGTGACTGTTCACTTTCCACAATCATGCTCCTAGGTGCCTTATCGAACCTCAAGAAATGGGGGTTTTGATATTCGGCATATTTCTCGATTTGTGTCGTCTCAGGATGCTGCAAGTAAATTTTTGCGGTCGACAACAGTGTACTAACGGCATTACATATATTCTTAGGACCAGCCACTGTGACATCAACATAAATATACATCTTTCTCTCGGCTGCTAATTCATGATTGAGTTCAGCTGTTGAAGGAAGTGTCTCAAAATGACAACCTAGATTTTTCATCTGGCAAAGTAGTTGGCCGGTCTTCTCATTGAGAATTGCAAAATCTGACTGGGAATATGATTCATCAAGAGCAGAGGTCGTCAGATAAACAACTTCACTCTCAGGCTGAAAGCGAAGCTTGAGCGACGGCGTATCTTTTGAGTTAGTGCCGATGGCATCACTCCCTAAAGCCTCCTGTGTCGTGGAATCGAGGAGTTTTGTTTGTATGTTATGAATCTGATTTTTCTCAACAAGACTCGCTATTTTGTTTCTTTCTTGTGGAGTACTTACAAGCCCAAAGCATGCGAGATTGCTATATCCAGAACTATTCCGTGTTCCTATAAATGAATTGGGTAGTGATATGGGGGGCAAGTCAAACTCTGAATCAGCAGCAAATGATCCAACATGATCAGAGTTCTCATCGTTTTGAGTCCCTGAATGGGAAACAGGATCTCTCCTTGTCTTTTTGTAGGAATGAAAAGCCCAAGTCCTACGATTTTTTGTGTTAGCCACCAAGTTATAGGTTAAGTATATAAACTTTATGTCCCTCTTTAACTTACGGTCCATCGGGATCAAATGAGGGTTCGAGGATATCAGGTAGACCCCTTTTATTCTTCTGATGTGAATGTGCCTCTCCATTGGGAGAAGACATTGCTGTGATTTATCAATGAGAAGGCGCTGTACATTGTTGTTATTTGGATGCACAGAACGAACTGACTATCTGATATTTAATAACGAATTGCAAAATACAAACACTCTGCAGAGGATTTCAAACAATTGAAAACCAAGAGCATGTGGTTTTGTACTACAATGCCGATGAATGCTGCGCCCCGACGAGGCAACGAGGCTCTGTTCAGATCACATGGCTTGTAGAATTGCATATGCAGGAGGTTAGGCTGATATTTTCATGAGATAAGCAAGTAATTTGGTATTCACAGTCATTGATTTGTTTTTGTGAAGGATGAGCTGCATTATGGGGCAGTGCGTGTTGATTTGAGACCAAGTTGTCAATGTTCTGGATTCGTGAGAGGGTTGGAATACTGTAGGTTGTCAGGTGCCCAGTTGAGGTGCAGAATACTAAGCCACATCCATCAACCAATTGTGGCTAAACCATGAATCTTACCTACCTACTTCTCTGACTTGTTACACGTCATTTTTCCAATCCAGGTCAATAATCTGGACTGTATTTTGACAATAAGAGGAATTTGGACCCTTTAAATCAATTTAACCACTCAACTCATCTGGAGCGTTGAATAGTTTTCGAACATTGACAGTTTCTTCAGCATTACAGTCATGGCCGACTCATTTCAAATTGCGTTGGCAAGCTTCAAAAAACGGTTGACCCAAGAGGAGCAGTTGCGATTTCAAACCACAACTCTGGACGAAGTAAAGACCGCAATACTGAAGATACAAGATGACCAAAGCCGTCGTAAAAGCATGATGAATCTCTCTCGTGTCAAAGCCTTCATCGAAGCGTTTGAACAATATTCAAATGTTGTCGAAGTTTTCCTCAACACGTCTTCAGTATTGTGTTTCATTTGGGGCCCTATGAAATTTTGTCTTCAGGTTGCAAGCTCATGGGCCGAGTCTTTCGACACACTATTGGACGCATATCAGCAACTTGCGGAAAACATACCTCTCCTCGAGCAATATGGTGACCTATTCAAAGGCAATTCGTATATGGTTAACGTACTTGCATTGTTCTATGAAGACATGCTCGACTTTCACCGAGCGGCTCTCAGGGTTTTCAGCAAATCAAGTAAGTTTATTCTGCAACCTATCAACTAACAACTTGTTTGAAATTTCCGAACGAAGCGCTACTTGATTTCAAGTGTTGAGATTATCTGAATCCTCAAAATACTAAAAATGATTTCTTATTTATAAATCTCCGAATATGCTATTGCCCCGTATCCGACCTTTTAGGTTTCGATCGCTTATGTCTCAGCGTGGAAACAAATATTTAGGGCGACTTGGAAAGACTTCAACAGCAAATTTCGGCATATACTAGAGGGTTTGGCCCGACATAAAGCTCTAGTAGAAAGTCAAGCGACGATTCTTCAATTCGAAAGGCAGCAAAAAGATTTCACCAAAGCCGAAACTTCGATTTCAATGATCCAAGAATCAATTATTCGTATTCAAGAATATCAGAGGGTGCACCTGAATCACAAAAAGCAGTTCGAGGCTATCGAGAAGGAAGATACCAAGCGTCAACGACTAGCTTTGCTAGATTGGCTCGCTTCCACCGATCCGATACCTGACCATGAGTTTGCGGTCTTTATGCGAGCCGATTATCCCTCCTCCGGCAACTGGATTTTGCAAGAGAATAAGATAAAAGCGTGGCTTGATCCTCAACAATTAACCGTCCCACTTCTCTGGATTAATGGTATTCCCGGAGCAGGTAAGCATTACAGAATCGCATAATACTAGCTTCATGGGCTAATTGAACTAGGAAAAACCATATTGACATCCGTGATCATTGGAGAATGCATGAAGAACAGCTCATCGTCGACAATATTCTTTTACTGCAAATATGACGATAAACAGAGAGACACTTTCATAGCCGTGGCTCGGGCTATGCTCTCTCAACTGCTGAAGCAAAACGAAGTTCTTCTACCTTACCTCTATAGCGAATGTATCAACAGTCATTCTGTTTCACTTGCCTCGCATGAGATGTGTACGAAGCTACTCGAGGTGTGCTTTGAAACTGTATCCAAATACGAAAGGACGTATTTGATAATTGATGGGCTGGATGAATGCGAGCCAGTGCAGAGGAGACTCTTGCTCTCTACTCTGGTCTCTATTGTACAAAAGACTTTGTACCCAGGAATGCTTCGCTTACTGATTGTCAGTCAAAATGAGCCTGATATAAAGAGACAGCTTCGGCAATGCTCAGATGTACGGTTGTCAAGCTCCTGCAACAGATCTGATATTGAAGTCTATTCTCGAGTGTGGGCAGAGAAAATACAGCAGAAGTTTTTCGTATCAGATGATACAAAGACACACATCATAAAGGCTGTGTCTGAAGGGGCAGATGGTAAGTGCTCTCCAGTACCTCACTGTTTTAATCTAACCGGTCTCAGGGATGTTCTTATATGCAAAGCTAATCCTCACTAATCTTTATGCACAAACATGCCGTGAAAAGCTGTACGAGGAACTTCGGCCGGGAACATTTCCAGTTGGCTTTGAGCAAGCGTGAGCGAAAGAACCTTGGGAAAAAATCGAAATTGTTTATCATTGCTGACAATTCAGATACTCGAGGATTGTGTGTCGAGTGTATCAGAACCCCAACGAGTCAGAGCGAGCTACCGCAGGAAGATTATTGGGCTGGATTTCATGTGCTAAGCGGCCCATGCGATGGCATGAAATGCAAGCTGCAGTATCAATTAACATGGATGATGAGGATGTGAACTTTGAGGGTACGTTAATTGATCAAACCCCCGCGCCCCTGTATGAAATCCATGATGGAATTATTTGTCTTGATTCAGGACCAAGTTGACCTTTTCAGACCGCCAGCTACGAGCTCATATTCAGGATCTATGTGGGTCTCTCGTGGAAGTCCTTCCAGGGGACCGAGTGCAACTCGTGCACAGCACCGCAAAATCGTACGTTAAAAATATATGACACAATGTGCTGGCTGAATATCTCCAAATAACTGATGATACGAGAAATAGTTACTTGGTTGATAAGAGCTATGTAAGAATTATTCTAGAAGAGCAGAAACTGGCAGTAATGTGCCTACGTTACCTACTTTTCCAATGCTTTGACCCGACTACACCTGACGATCAAATCCACCACTATGTCAATGAAGGTTATTATGCATTCCAGGAATATGCAATTGTATATTGGGTTGATCATCTAGAGTCTCTGATTGAAAAATTATCACCATCAGACCTTGAAAACTCAGAACTATGCGACCTTGGGTCTGCCATTGCGGAATTTTACGAGATTTTTGGGGTGCAAAGCACAAAAAGGTCGGATGTCCCCTCCTTCTTAGAAGATCGATGTACTCATCTTGTTGGGTCCGACCAACTAGATTCACTTCTTCTTCTGCTGAGCCATACTAGAAAAGTTCGGGCTGCTCAAGATGAACTGACAGAGCCAAAGGAGTTAAAAATAATTCTCGAGAAAGTACGATCGCACTTAACCAGACTGTCCAAATCAAAAAACTTGACGATTGTGGAAAAGCAAAAGCTCAATACTTATTACGGTCCAAAATGGATCAAATGTCCTCGCCATGCATGTTTCTACTTCCATGAGGGGTTTCCTGATGAATCTAGTCGTGATAAGCACCTTCTACGACACGAGAAGCCTTTCTTATGCACAGATCTAAGTTGCCTGAGGAAACACTGGGGATACAGTACCGAGAAGGAACTCAAAAGACACATATTATTAGAGCATCCTGATCCAGCAGCTTTCGGAGGTAAATTTCCGAAGGTCAAGAAAGAACCAGTGAAGCATCAATGTAATATATGCGGAAGCTCATATACAAGGTCATCAGGTCTAAAGATTCACCAACGAAAACATGATGGAACAAGACCGTTCAAGTGCGAATCTCCTGGCTGTTCAGCGGCATTTCTGAGGAGATGGGATCGGGATAGACATACGAGGTCTGCTCATTCAGGAATGGGAAATGCTAGTGGATCGCAATCACCACAATCCACGCCAGTTCAAAGTCTGCCATAGCTAAAGTGTTTCTCGACAACGTATTTGAACGAAAGACCCTGGATAACTTTCCTTCATGGAAAGCCAAAGCCGATGGGTAGAACAGCATCAACATTCTCTATTCTTGACTGGAGAATCTTCTGATATTGTATGACTAGGTTAATAGAGTGGATAATTGAAAGCACGATTCCTAGTATCATCATTCCAACTCTGATCCACATTCGAGTGCAGACTTTGAGTTACGCAGCCCTTCTTATCTTTGCAGTTGAAGACTTGACACCATTCGATCGGTGCATAGCCATAACATAGTATTGTCTTCATATCTGAGCCTTATTTATCTGCGTGGTATATTTTCTCAGTGTTCATCGTATGAATAGCATGACATTCGTCATGAGGATACCCTTAGCAATGATAGAAAGATAGAAACAGCATTGCAATTGCAATGCGAGGAATTTTTAGATCTCGTGAAAAAGAAATGATGCAACGGATTTTTCGTGTTTTTTATCCGCTTTTGCTAATGTCATATAGCCATATGGTGCTTTTCGGGGGCTCCTCATAATCGTGACTAAATAGAGTGGCTATAAATGATTCTAAAATATTCAGCCTCATCATTTTCCCTTAGGAAATTTTACTAGTACCCATATCACTTTTCATTTGAAAAGTCAAATATCAGACCGAACATAGATAGTAGGACGCGTGGTGATCGGCTCAGAAGGTTTACACGTGATACACTTACGTGCATACCACCAAATGCCTTTGCGGCTCTTATATTAGCAAGAAAAGATAATTTTCAGCTTAAGCAGGCTGAACGAGCGGTGCAAGAAAAAACAGGCTCTTCGTTGAGTAGTTGTCGCTTGATCTCCCAATACATTTCGTCTGACGGAAGTCAGACATGACGCTTTCCTTCTTCTGGAAAGTGCTCTCCACTTTGTAATGCCTACAATCTTACCGTTGTGTGCTATTTTGAGCTGCATGAATTGCGAATGGAACTAGGGTTGGGCAAATTATATAATCTGACTGAGGATTACATATTCTTATATTATAACGTTTTTTGATTGATATAAAATATTACGCCAAGATTATGCACGTGATTTGACAGCCAATCAATTCCTTAGAATGAATAAAAATGGGAAAAATTTGAAGGCATTCTCCGATAAATTATCAAAAAAGCTATTATGGATTTTTATATCACATGATACTAACTATCAGAATCATGTGATTTCAGGAAAAAATCTTATTTTCAAGGATTTCGACCGAATTTTTCTTTCAAATTTATTATATAGAAAAAATCGATATAATTTGTTGACCAATACATTCAAAAATTATATTATATATGCCCAACCCTAGGTGGAACCTATAAGAAATGGAGGACTTTCGGCGTTACTTATCTCATTCTCAGACCACGCGGTGATTACATAATTTGAAGCCTTGATTTCGAGGCAGGAGCCTCCCGAAGGTTAGAAGATGAGGAGATAAATGTCCCCCCGATCCCTGATTGACTGAAAAAAAAATCGATCATTAGTAAGCAGCCAACAACACCAATACCAAAAAGATCAACATATATCAATAAGAAACGTTCTATCGACGAAGAGGGTCTGAATATTGAGATAACGAATTTCCAAAGTGGTTAACTAGACGGAAAGCCTTTTCACAAAGTTCAGGTAGTTCCACTTAAAATGAGCATCATAGATCATAGATCACGAGACCGACAGCCCAATCACAGAGTTGATTCGCTGATTGGATGTGAATTTGGGAAAGACATGACACTGCATTCGCTTACTTGTCTAGGTAGTGCCTGGAATAGCCAGTCAATATTCATGTGAATAAGCAGTCCATTTCATAAGCAGCTCTATCGAAATTGCGACGATTAGACTAAGAATGATCAGTTGGAAATTCAGTTGGAACTTTCTTCAAGCAACGAACGATCCAATCGTTGTTTTTGTATTTGAGTGTGTTGATACCTCTCCCAACAAACGATAGATTTGAAAACGAAAATAGAGAGTAACTCTTTCTACAAGTCCCTTCCAGGCTTACATATCCAACCAGAGATCCAACTCTATGTCTCCCCATCAAGACAACTATCAACACTTGCCGGCGAATATCGGTGTGTTCCACTCCGAGCGCCTCCTCGACTTTTCTGACGAAAGTATCAATATTGGCGTTCAAAAATCACAGAAACAACTTGCATGCGCAAAATTTCATACCCAAAAGCTACGATGTGTTCGGAAGTCATCTGGTGAACATGCCTGTGATCGTTGCCAGGCTACCAACGTCGAGTGCGTTGCCAGACAGCTACAGCGTATGGGCAGACCAGCAGACTACTGTCGCCGCAAGAATCATAATGGCAGCGCCAGCATAAATGGTGCTCGGTACAAAAATAAATACCAATATGGCGGTGCAAGTCGTAAAATTGTTAGCACGACAAGTTCCGGGAGTGAATCGAGACATTTGTCCGTGGTGGATAGTGATTGCGGGGTTGTAGCGTTGTCTCCTTCAGCTGACGGTGACTCCACATCTAGCTGTAGGGGTGCCGGCGCTGGTGTTGAATTCGCTGAACTATCTCCGAATAATATTGGTGTTGCCATGTGCCCGCCTGTGGACGTATCTGTGGAGAAAAACAAAAACGTGGGTAAAAGTAGCAGCAATGATAGCAGCAGCAGTACTATTGTGACACAAATCACTCCAACCTCATACACGGGTTCGGATCTTGATATTTGGTCGTCGTGGGCAGTCCCAAATCAACTAAATTCTTATGCGAATTCTCCCTTTGCTGGGCTAGAAAATTCAAACTCTTTGTTCCCACAGTACAACGATTTGCCGGCAAGCTTCTTTGCTCATGGTGTTGATACGACTATCATCGGAGCAAGCACAGAACCAGATAGCATCACAGATTTACAGTCACAACTTGACGATACGCCCAACGATCCAGTCGAACAACTCACCAAGCTACACCTCGAATTATATCGCTGTCTCACCTCTGTCAAAGCCGTAGAAAACAGCTAAGAAAGATAAAATGCTCAATCCGTCCAAAAAAGATGGTAGCATTGACACCAGTTGGTTACAGCAATTATTCCAAACCACAGAACGATTCATCGATGCCTTAACAAGCTATGTCGACAAGAACCTACCTCCAAGCAATACTGAAGCCGTGTCAGCTAGCCTCATCAGCAGTTCAGATAACCAGGAGCTAATGACCACCGACGAAGCCGACACAGCCACAGGTCTCATGATCGTAAGCTGCTACAGTCAGTATAATCTGCTCACCAATTCCTGTGTTCTTAATACACTGCCTGTTCTCCGAATTGCATTCACTTTTCCCTTCCAAGGATGTATTCTCCTTTTGTTTTCTAACACAGCTTTATCTCCTCACTTTCTTTCAAGTCTTGCTACAGCAGGAAGTACTGACTCCCAGATCTTCCAGTGCGTCTCCTCCAAATTTTCGACGTCGTGGTCTTCATCATTGAAACCCACCGCGATTTCCAATGTCCAGGGAAGTTATGTCGAGATACGCTTTGGGTCTTTCGCAGCTAAAACTGATCGCATGCTCTCGGCCCGCTTGCTCGGTCAATATTTACTGCATCTTCTTTGTGGAATTTCTGAGGCAGTTAAAAAAGCTATCGCCTCCCGCCAGCCGTATGCTCGTGCGATTGTCGATGCGCGGAGAGTGGAGGCGAAGTTAAAAGAGCGCATTGCGATTACATTCCACGATCCTTGAGGGAAAAGAATTTGTTTAGACAAGCATCTCGTTTTTGGATCGAAGAACTTCCGTTGAGGTAGATCCAAGGACTTGAGAGAGGTTGAAATGTTCGTCAGATGATGCATCTTTTGCGCAAAGGGTATTCTACGGGATACTGCAAGGCCGAAAATGCTGGGAAGAGCGTAACATCTTGTTTAGAATTTATTTATTTCTACCTTTCATCTTATGCTAGTGCTCAACGAATTCCTAGGATTCAATCTGTTCAAATTCTATGTGATCTCAACCCATTTAGTTGTTATCAAAGTGCTAAATCACGTACGTTTGTGCCTATGTGATCTATCTTTTCTTCTATTGAAGTACTTTCCAACTTCAATCTGTTCGAATGTTGCAAGATATCTTGCCTTTTCTCCCCTGGAAGGATCCCCTAAACACCTCATCCTCACTTTGTTAGATTATTTGTGTCTACTAAATTCCACCCCATTCACAACTGCTTGGTTTGTTCCTAACATTACCGACAAGACTTGATCTACTGCGGCAGTAGTGACAGGAAGATTCAGTACCATGGACTGGATATTTGGAGGTGGAAGCTCGTCTGAACTCGGGTTGCTTCCCGCCTCTTTATCCAGCGGAGTCAACAATAGCTAAAAACGACGTCGACGATGAGACATCACCGTCAGCAGGCAGAGCATGAATTCTGGTCATAGATATCACTGCCCAATTGTATCGGGGTAGTTAGCCTTCAAATATTTAGGCCACTGCATGACAGGCGCTCAGCGAACTCGAGAATCCGGCGAGAGGTGCCGTACAGTCACGTGTTTGACTTCAAACCGTCACGTTTTCACGTCACATGAGATTTTCGAACGAAGTGAGGATCGGGGACTTGAGGGCATAGATAACTCGGTATTTTACACTACTATGCTATTTGCTCTCTTTCGGTGAATCAGATTGAGTTGCAAGGATAATTAATAATTCGGATACTTCCATTTTGGTAAAGTATCCGAGCCCGAACGAGGGCCGCAGCGTCCTTTCTTTTCCGAGCCTTTTAGATAGGTTATGTCCTCTCAATTTACTCCCGCGTCTAACTTTTTGTCGAGAGGCAATACTTTGGTCAATTCGAGATATATCTTAAACCCTCAATTTATTATCGATATAAATCCACATATGTTATTAGAACAAGGACTTATACATGGCTTCTATTACAAACGAGCCTCTAGATAAATCAGAGAATCTGATGGATCTTCACCGTACCGCAGACTTTAATAGCGATCGCACTAGTCCTCCAGCGCCTCGAGAGAATGTGCCTGATACTCCTGATATGAGTAAAGGCAAACTTGCTCTATGTCTCTCGGTCTTTCTCGCAGCCATAGACGCGGTCCTTATAACTCCAGCTTTGCCTGATCGCCGCATTATCGCACAGTGTAAGCATGCTCATAGCTGCACGTGCTTTGCAGGGGCTCGGTGGAGGTGGCATTATAACTCTTGTTGAGATTTCTGTAGGAGATATGTTCAGTCAAAGGTATGTTTCATTTGAACAGCCACGTTGTAACCAAACTTTCAATTCTTCCCCAATACTAGGGTGCTTGATCAACCTTTTGCTGATACATCTATCCTCCAGACAAAGAGGAATTTTCTATGGTATATATGGAGCTGTTTGGGCATTTGCAACTGCAATTGGACCTATCATTGGTGGTGCATTTACCGAATATGTATCATGGAGATGGTGCTTTTGGTTCAATTTGCCATTTGATGGACTATCCCTTATCATTACATTTCTCTTTCTCCATATCCACAATCCGAAGACTCCTCTTGTCGCAGGCCTCAAGGCCATTGATTGGATTGGATCGATACTCATCGTTGGCGCAACTCTCATGTTCCTGTTCGGCTTGGACTTCGGAGGCGTGACCTATCCCTGGAAGTCTGCACTTGCCATCTGCCTCATCGTTTTCGGACTTGTGACTTATGCTGTTTTCGGGATATACGAACGTTTTGCCAAGTATCCAATTATTCCTCGCCGTATCTTCGGAAATGTATCACTCATCTCCACATTTGCCGTTGTTTTCTGTCACAGCGCTTGCTTTATCGCACCTGTCTTCTTCCTTCCGCTATACTTTCAAAGTGTTCTTGGAGCTACACCAATTCTTTCCAGTGTCTGGCTACTTCCTATCGCTCTTTCATTTACGGCCTCTGGAATCATCATGGGTATTCTAATTCAACGCACCGGACAATATCTGTGGATTATCCGGGGAACAATGGCACTTTTGAATCTGGCACTTGGCATCATGATTACATTCGGTCCTACTCGCAGCTGGGGCAAAATCGTCGTCTTTCAAATCCTGCTTGCGTGGGGAATTGGCGCTAATATGCAAACTCTTGTAATTTGCGTGCAAGCTCTCGTCGCGCCGGAGGATATCGGGGTAGCAACCGGTACTTTGAATTTTATCCGAAATCTTGCTACTGCGAATAGTGTTGTGCTTGGTCAGGTGGTCTTCCAGGGCATTCTCAAACACCATAAGGGAGAATTGCTCGCAGTTGGTATACCTGAGGATAGTGTGTCAAAACTTCTGAATGGCGGTGTTATAGGTGGTTCTAATATTGCAAGTACTTTCACCTCAGCACAGAGTTCCGCTTACAGAAGTGTAGTTGCAGATGCACTGTCCAAAATGTGGATTTTGTATACTTGTATCTGTTTTCTTGGCTTAGTCATTTCATTTGGTATCCAAAAGAAAGAGCTCATGACGGTGCATGAGATAACTAAGACGGGCCTGGAGGCGGAGGAGGAGAAGAGACAGAAGAACTTGGGGGCTAAATCAAGAGAAGAACCTTAATTGAGATGTCTACAGCTATGCATATGTAAGACGGCAATGAATACGCTCACTAGTCTACTTTGCCGCATCAACTGAATGAAATCTTATATTTGAATTGCAGCTATAATCACCTCATAATCTCCCTTCGTAGTCAAAGGAAGGGTAGGCGTCGTCCAATTCCTCGCCTCGCCCATCATCCGCTCTTCAATATCCTCTGCCGACCGGTGCACACGGTATCTACTGCTCGGAAATATGACTAAGGTCAGAGGAACTTCATCTATCACCAAGGTTCTCGAAACCTGCAAATGCCTTCAATCCTGAGACCTCGCGTGATTCTGAGCCGGTCATAGCACTAGCGCAATTTACGTAGTTTCTGTGCAAAGAGAATTCACTGAGGCCGTCAAGCTTTAGAACTTTGAGAAGAGCCTTGGAAGTATCATCACTGATAATGTGTTCGCAGAGTGGATATTCGTAGACCTGGCATCTTCTGACCAAGGTCATTGTGATTTTCCGGGCCTAGTTAAACACACACACGAGCGTATTAGTACTTTGAACACCATCTGCTAGTATGGCGACCGCCATCTCTGGTATTATAAATCTTCGTGGCACTCGAGCCTCACCATAAGCTTCTTGTATCTAAATTTTTGACAAGTCGCTGGCACATTGTACGCTGCGCAAATGTCCAGAACATCTCGAGGATTATTCTACATCGTCGAGCGCTGTAGGAGCAAGCGGAACCTTGGGGAAATGGATAAAAAGGTCAAGTGCGTCCACAGATCGTTTTATTGCTGACAGTTGTTGCTGAAATAGCAGAGAAAGGTCTTCAAACATGATTCCTTCAAGCCACACTATGCCATCTCAACCCACCGGCTCTAAAAGAGACCTTGCTGCAGTGAGATCACTATTCTCCAAACATATCAAAAGGTCATATTTCAAAAGATTTCTTCTGCCACCCTGCAGTGCTCTTACCTCGTATTCCCAGTTTTTGAAAACAGCGGTTTCTCCTCTCTCAGGCTCCTCCAATAATCAGTCGACCTAAATAACCCCTCACAGCCCCTAATAACCCACGCCCAATTTCTGGCAAAAGTTTCAGTAACCTCCCAACCGCTCTCATCCCATGGATCTCGCCATACGATAATCCCATTTCTTCTCCCCAACTTCGCACTCTTGACTCCTCTCATTTCTCGACATAGCTCTACTTCATCAAATTGATTATTCCTCCGCAGTAAATTATCGCGTAGCTGAGGAATCGGTAAGAGATCTATCCACGGATGATGAGGAATCTCACGTTGAAGGGGTGTCGGGTGAAGAGATAAGGGCAAGGAAGATAGATCAATAGTTAAAGATGTTTTTCCTGCTGTGAGATCCACAAAGAATCGAGAGCACGCTGTTCGGGCCATAGAGGAAGTTGTTAGACCAAGAGTTTGAGCGTTGGCTACAAAAGCTCGGGCGGTGTTAAACTGGATCAACATCATTGCGTTATCCGTTGACGGGGATGAATGGAGGTAGTTTCGGTAGGCACGGGTGGAGAAATGTAAGAGGAAGGATTGTGTTTCCGGGGAGTCGGGTCGACATGCTTGAATTAAGTCGATGTCTTCAATAACAGTTGAATTTGTGTGTGGAAGAGTTTGAGGTGGGCCTTTTTGTTGTGCAGTAGTTCTGTATGTTTCGAGGGCTTGATGATCACCATGCGAGAAGGGAAATTGCCGTGATAGTTGAGTAGAGATTGGTTCGGAACCTCCATTGTGGAGTTGGGACTGCCCCTCTTTCTCTTGTACTTTAAAATTCAAAAGCTTCCGCTTTCCTGCAAGTTACCACCGCATTAGCCCACACGTAACGACCGGATAGTGAAGAAATCTCACTCGTGATCCTCTGATTCAACCGATCTTGAATCTTTTTTCTTCGGCGTTTGTCAGTTATACCCGTCCAATCATCTTCTACAGATAAAATGCCATCCTGATGAGGCATAAGCTGCAAAGGAATGAGATTTTGCTCCATATTTTAGGTCGCATGTATCATATGTAGTCGACTGACTTCTTCACTCCTATCAGACTGTAGTCCAAACCCAAGTTTCTGTGAATAATGTGAATGGAGAGTAGTTCTGCAGGGCTTCAGAATTGATTAAATAATCTGCAAGTCACTGACTTACACGCTAGCTTTACCACTTTTGAGTTTGCCTGGAATGCTGTATGAGGTTAGAACTGACTACTAAGGTACGAAGCATGGTGGTGAAAGGGTCTCAAGGTACGGCCCATAACCACCGAAAAATCATAGAGATCGAAAACATGGAAAGTGCCCAAAGCTCATGATTCGCTTAAGGCCTAATTAGCTTGAGGTCTGTGGATCTCACCCCACGTAACCTACAATAGAATTTGGCTACACCGGACTGGATATACTGGAAAAATTTCCTCATTTGATCACTTTTCATATAGCAATACCGGAATCTTAAGCAAAACCGAAATACCGAATTAATTTTTTGCAAATCTGATAAAAGTTTTGATAATAGATTTCACTGAATAAGCCTTTTCTTTTGATTAATAAACTCGATTATCTATAATCACATATTTTTATATAAAATTATTTAATCTCGAAATTCAACTTCAATATAAATTTCACTAAAACATTTGGACCACATGATTTATACCGGAATCCTCTTTATACCGAATTTGATTAATCTCATTCTGATATAACCAAGTTCTACTATACATACTATTTCTCGAGCGTACCGCATAGGACCGTTACTTGTACCGTTCGAATAATGTATTAAAGTTACTTGTGACGGCTCATCGGGACATGTGAACGAAGTTTAGTTTCCTCCTTACACTGATAGGTGATATTGGTTTGGCACGTCTAAGCTGAGGCTGACTACCTATAATTTCTGATAGGGGTATTTTGATCATTCAATTAAACAAAATCTATGAAATTTCTCCCAGAAGAGAATACCAGTCGGTACTTGAGATATTTCCTCCAGAGTGACGCCATGGTTCCCAAACAATCAATTGTAAATTACACATTCTTTAAAGTTTTATCATGATAATATGGAGAACAAATGTGGAGTCGTATCAATAAGTTTTACGCTAATGCAACTGACTGACAACTGCCTACTCTCATTTTAGCTAGGAGGTAAGTTTAACTCCGCGCGACATAACTCCGTGCTTTCTTGCAATATCTGCTGATGATGAAGCATCACGGTTGTGCACACATGAAGCACTTCAGGCGGTGCTCTAGAATTCAAAGTGCCTAAACACATTACAACCCCCCAAAAGACTAGTTGAAGTGTCAATTTTTAGTAATCAAGTGTGATATGACGAAAGCAAAAGTATTGCAGAAGTGATACATTTGCATGATATAAGAAAGAAAGATTGTCGTTCAATTCCTTCCTTCGTGTCTTTAAATACCTAGATACTCGTCACATTAGCAAGAAAACTCAACGCTTCAACATCCCTCTCATCTCAATTTCTCTACCTAAACATGGCTCAAAATAAAGCAGCATGGATCAAGACTTCTGGCGCAAACCCATTGGTTATTGAAGACGCCCCTATACCTCATCCTGGCCCGGGAGAGCTGGTTATTAAGAATTCGGTGGTGGCTATCGTATGTTAACACAATCTTCTTTTGGTGTAGATAGAAGGATTCAATCAATAACAATTATTTGATGAGCAGAATCCTGTGGATTGGAAGATTCAGTAAGCTTGTTTATGCCAAGTGTCCAGCTTGTAAAGTATGAAGACTTCTAAGAAAATATAGGGATCATGGTCGCTATCTCAACAAATATCCATTCATCCTAGGAGAAGATACTGCAGGTACAGTTGAAGCTGTCGGCGAAGGTGTTGTAGGTTTCCAGAAAGGTCAAAGGGTTATTGCGTATGTAAACCACTCCAGAAAGTCTCAAATATCATATTTCAGCCAAATTCGGTGCACAAAGTGTCATGATACCTAACAAAGCACACACAGGCATTGCCACGGCCTTATGACTCGCGATCTCTCCCACTCCGCCTTCCAAAACTACACTGTTGTCACGGAAAAGCTCACTTCAGCACTCCCTGACTCTCTCTCTTTTGCACAAGGAGCAGTCCTTCCATTGGCTATTTCCACGGCATCAGCAGGTCTCTTTCAGAAAGATACTCTGAATCTTCTCCTCCCTTCCGCCACCAGCAAGATCGAAACAGACAACGAAAAAACAGTCCTAATATGGGGAGGAGCATCTTCCGTTGGAGCCAGCGCCATTCAACTTGCCGTCGCCGCAGGAGCAAAAGTCATTACCACCGCCTCTGCTCAAAATCATGACCTTGTCAAATCAATTGGCGCACAAATTGTGATTGATTACAAGTCCCCCAACGTAGTAGAAGAAGTAGCAAACACAATTCGCGGTAGCCAGTTCGCTGGGGTATTCGACGCTATCTCCGAGACCAGGAGTTTCGAAACCGTGCTCAAGGTTCTGGAGAATCTGGATGTGTTTCCCAGGGTAGCGAGTGTACTTCCGTATGACAAGCCCACGGAGAAATTCTCGCCCAAGTATGGTACGCATTGACACCTTTTTTGTCTTTTGAGTAGCATTTTCTCGACTAACTTTTTGATCTTCTGTGCTTTAGTCACCGCTTTTACGATTATTCAGGAACCGAATGAATATGTTGGAGAAGCTGTTTGGAAGAAGCTTGTACCAGAGGGTTTGGCAAATGGAAAGCTGCAAGCAAAGCCTGAGCCGTATATTGTAGGTTATGGGTTGGAGGACCTTCAGAAAGCATTGGATATTCAAAGGAAGGGGGTTTCGGCAAAGAAGGTGGTTGTTACCTTGTAAATTTAGTTCTTGATTAAGTCACGTAACTTTCAGTTTGGGCCTTCAGAAAACCAAATATAAGAGCAACAATCAGAAACGCATAAAATGGTTGTTAATATGAAGAAAAGAATGTGGTGCTAAATTGCTAGTATAGTAGTAAACGAGCTTACCTCCACCTATTTGAAGGAGATACTCTTGAGATATAGCTGCAGACTTCTGTTTACGACATCAAAAGTAAAAGTTATCAATTTGATCAACAATAAAGAACTACGTAAAGTGTTCAAAATGTTGTGTTACCGACAATAACTTCACCACTTCACTATATCTAAGCATTGAAAGTAGAAAACCCGATTGAACACTTCGGTTCCTTATCTTCATTCCGATAATTATCTGATCTGGTAACCTTATGTACGACGCTCAGTGGCAAACTTTCTTTATTCTTAACAACACAGCTGGGTTATTCAAAGTTTCACTCTAACATTGCTCGGGATACCTATAAGTAGATCAAATAATACCTGACTATTTGTCATCCAAACCCACTAAAAATAAACTATCAAGCCCCTTCATCCCAATAGAATCTACTCAAAACCCAAGCTTTGATCCGCAAGCGGAAGGTTCTGCAAAGTATGGCGTCTTAAAAACTGCTCCATAGTAACATTTCCCACTTGAGGATACTTGGAATTATCAAGATTACTGCTCTCTTCCCCTAAATACGCTTTTCCATTTGTGCACCAGAATGCAAATCCTCTATTGCTCTGATTAGTTTTTGGAAGATCATGCGTGGAGATCAGGGTATAATGTGGAATTGCTTACAGTGCGCCCCATTGGGATGTATCTTCGCCATGTGTTTTCACCGCCCCTTCGAGCTTCTGTTCGAGTTCAATTAAGAGTCCATGAGACTTTAGATGAAGCGGAGTGGAATAGACGGTTTGAAAGAGTGATTGGAGTTCACGGGGGGATTTTCGATCCTCTAGGACTGTGATTCTCTCTTGTCAGTTTGCTGTCTCGAAGGAAAACACAATTGAAGATGAAGTGGAAATCGAACAACATACATCTGAAAATCCCCACAGCATTTTCATCCAATGCAACCGCGGCCGTGTAATCAGCTGCGGTCTGATATGTAGTAAACTCCCATTTTTCATCGCCAGCTCCCCAGTACGAGAGAGTTTGAGAGGAGGAATCATATAGCTGGAAGAATTCCGCCCAGAAAGTCTCCATTAATGCGCCATTAAAAATATGCACCCCCTTAACTGTTTTCTTGGTAGAAAGATATTCCATAATTTTCGCAGTTGGTTTGGGGAAGAGATGAAGACGTGAAGACGGAATGAGCGTGTGATCAACAGAGAAATCTCCGGCTATGTAGCGGGGTACTTTTGCCGCTTCGCAGGCATTGATGAGGTATTTCTGGCTGTTGTTCATTACCTCTGTCGAGGCAAAATAACAGCATATGACGACGGAGGTACCAGAAACGAATTTCTGGATTGAGGTTATGTCGTCGTAGGATCCTGTCACGATCTTGATTCGGGGGTGAGTGGTCAATATCGTGGGAAGTTTGGACGCGTTGCGACAATAACCTTTGATATGGACTGATGGGTTGAGGAGGAGGGATTTGATTATACATTGAGCGAACTTGCCGCTTATGCCGGCGATGCCTATGGTTTTTGCTTCAGAAGAGGACATTTTGGATGCTTGGGTTGTAGAGAATTTAGACTTTAAGTATTAAGAAATTGGGTGATGATGTCTATGTTTGAGTATAAATATCAAAGATAACATTAGAAGGTGCGCCTGTAGGTGTATATATAATTTCAAAAGATTACAAACCAAGGTGTTACCAGGAATAAGTGATAGGACTTTTCTCTCCCTTAGAATAGGGAGAATATTCCTTGGATATATGATACTGAAACTAAATAATTCTATGTGATGATTTGTAAAATTACAACGTTCATCTTGCATTTCAAAGATTTAAGAGTTACTAGCGCGGTAGGATTGTCAGTCGCATGCAGTTGACTAATTTAGCGAAATCGCTTCAGGAGGCTAAACCCGTGCACTAAGAATTAGTGTTTCGGAGCTTTTGTTCGGAGCATGTAAGTCACTGACATGCACGAATTTTCTATCCAAATTTTGCTGCTTTATAATTCGTCCGGAAGTTATTTTCATGTACTTAGAGTTATTAACGTGGGCGAACAGCCCGGCACTTCGAGATAGTTAACTCCGGGTATTTGAAACTCAGAAAGATGCAACGGGAACCATAGTATAGAGAAGTCGAAATTAGTAGACATTGCTTGGTAATAGTAGATAACGGTCGAAAAATTAATTGCAAATTCAATGTCAGTATGAAGAGGGCAAAGAGAAACAGGTATAAATAGAGTTTACTTTCCACTTGAAGGGGGTACACTTAACATTCAGTGCTTAGGTTCACACGACAAATTGACAAGCAAATCTTAAGAATACTTTCCGTTCAATTATCTACTACCACTCGTTCAAGATGTCATCTCTCGGAACTGTGTATTCTTACCCCAACAACCCTCGTACAATGAAGGTCAGTCAAGGACCTGGAAGTCCGAGTACAGATACCTTATACCATACCCTTGATCTAACATACCATCTTCCAGATCCAAGCTGCAGCCGCCTTCAATAACAAGACCATCGACATGTTCCCCGATTTCGTCATGTTCGAAACCAACCGAACTCCCGAATTTCTCTCAGACTTCCCACTTGGTCGTGTCCCAGTATTCAAGGATGCCACCTCCTCTTTCAAACTCTTCGAATCGGATTCTATTGCCCAGTATGCCGCCGAAAGTGGCCCTGCTGTGAACCAATTACTAGTATCAAACATCAAAGAACGCGCGGCCATTCGTCCATGGATATCTTTTGCTAACAATGAGATCTTTGAACCTATCACCACGCTTATCTTTTGGAGATATGGATTTGTGCCTTTTGAGAAAAGAGCAGAGGATGAAGCTATGGGGAAATTGGAGATTGTATTGAACGTTTTGGAGAGTCAGTTGAGGAAGCATGTGTATGTGTCTGGTACGGAAGATATTAGCTTGGCGGATATTTCTGCTGCTGCTGCTTTGTATTGGGGATTTGATCAGGTCATCGATGTAGAGATGAGAGGGAAGTTCCTTAAAGTTGCGAGGTGGTATGAGAGTACTATTAAACATGAACATCTTAGCCCTTTCTGGGGAGAACAGAAGTTCGTTGAGAAGAGATGAGAGGGGGCGAATATCTAACCCTAACCCCAAATTAGATGAGTATGTAAATTGTTAATAATAAGCATGTACTAAAGTTTTCATAGAGAAGAGAACAGTGTAGGCAATAGTATACTACAGTAAAACTGTGGCGTGTATTAACATATTGATATTGCAGCTAATACGTTTAGAACGGAGATTATACCATTCTCGTATATATTTATATATCTGAAGAATACTAGCAATATATTGAATTCCAATACTTCAGTATATTGCTAATAATATCGAAAGTTTAAATAATATTAAATATCTTTAGTGGTATCGAATTCAATATTATGTACGTACATATTTCGAAAAAAAATCGATACGCACCACTAAACTAGCCCGTATACGAAATACGGGAAATACTATTGCCTACACTGGAAGAGAATGGAGCGATCTAATAACTTGTCTCGAGGCTTGAGACTCGATTTAAAGGAATATCGAGACTACTGGAATAGTATATAAGAGAGTAGTTTTGGTCAGTTGGACTCCAGCTGGAGGAAATCACTGGCACACCAAATTTTAATCTCGCCAAAATTCGAAAGAGTGTAAATCAATATCATTTCGACGTCAAATAATACCATCAAAAAAACATTTCAGATATACCTAAGAAAGTATAAATCATAAACTGCAAATTCGCTATATTTTTATCCATATAATAGTTCTAAATATCGAAAAATCAAATTAACAACAAATACCAGAAATCTCTTAACTATTCACCCACCAACACTCACAATCCAAGCCTCCAAATCACGAGACCTCGCGCAATAAAATTCCACTCTCAAACGCACAGACCACCCATCAAACTCTGTTCCTCCCCCTCACATATGCAAGAAAAGAAGCGCACATTCATATACGATTTTGAGTTCATAACCTAGTCATCCTCACTAGGTATCGACGGGTATCCAAGCTTTTCTCCATCCCGCCTATTCCAATTCTAAGTCCCTTGTCTATCAACGCCCCGATCCCGAGCCGAGTCGTCCGAGCAAATCTCCCGAGAGAAAGATTCACAATGGTATAGCTAATCACCCCTCCCAAACTAACACCCGCGAGAAAAGCATATCAGAACTTCATTTCTCTCAATTCACCTGATCAAAAAACGCCAACTAATGCTCCATTCCTAAACCCACAGGTACACGCCGACTCATCGACTTTCAAAGCCGATATCAGCAAAGCGGAAGCTTATGCGCAGGTATTAGACGAAGCGAGGGGATTAATCGATGGGCAGAGGAATTGGGTATGTTTTCCTCCTTCTTCTTTTCTTTGTTGGGAAACTGGGATCGTCGATATTGGAGGAGCGAGTAAAACGAATATGAGTAGGTACTAATGGTGTATAGGTGTGGTAAATATTCAAATTTTTCGATTCGTTATATCAAGTGATATGATATGATCTAGTCAGAAAACATATATAAGAACATTGAATAACGAAATGGACATAGTAATTTATCAAACGCAGCGTCATTACTATGGCACGCATATAAATCACTCCCCTCCCCCTCTTCAGAGGTAAACTGGGCTGGTTCGTCTCTCTCCTTCTTTACCTTTTCCCAAAAAAACACCAACTTACCTATTCCAGGATTCTACACTCTGGATCCCTCATCCACCTCCTCTAAGCCTTCCTTAATCCTCGGCCCCTTCCAAGGAAAAGTTGCTTGTCAAACCATCGCCTTTTCCCGCGGTGTATGTGGCACCGCCGCTTCGACTCAAACGACGCAGCTTGTTCCCGATGTGGAGAAGTTTCCGGGTCATATTGCATGTGATGCCGCTAGTCAGAGTGAGATTGTGGTGCCAATTGTGGTGGATGGGGTGGTGAAGGCGATTATTGATGTAGATTGTGGGGTCAAGGAGGGGTTTGATGAGGTGGATCGGAAGTGGTTGGAGGAATTGGCGGGGGTTCTGGCGGAGGGGTGTGATTGGTAGTTGAGTAGAGGGTTTGGGAGGTGAGGTTTTGAATTTGTCTATATTTTCCTGCAATCTTCTGGATGAAGTTGCACTGTGTTGTATATGGATATAGAATTTAGATGAGAGAAACATAGAGCACTTGCTGTAAATTCTACATCCGCCAGCAGGCAAATCTGCATACTTAGCAAGTAGATGAAGAATCATCTTTGAGAAAGAAAAAATATAAAGTTTCGAAATTCGAGGATGCCCAGATGTCGAGCCCTGGCACCGGGTGAGAAGCATTCTCTACTCAAGATAAATCGCAAGAGTCTGACATGACGAATGGGGGAGGAGAGGATTGACTGTAGAAGATATTTCAACCAGTCGGCCACTCCCCCCTCACTTTTCCCAAGCCGCCATTTTCACTCCTCGACTGAGGAAGGATAATTGAAACTACTATCTGGTAGTGACGCCTTTTGGTATACACTTCGTCGCAAATGAAAACACAGCGTGCGATAGTGATATCTAGTACCAAAAACCTGCTTTGAACTCCCATCCATCCCTCCATTCCACCAAAATTATAAAACCTCTTCAAAAGTTCAACCCACCACATTCAAAAACCATTTCATCCATGTCATAATCCAATTTACAACCCACAAACCACAAACCTCTTGGAAAGGAAAAAAGAAAAGGAACAAGAAAAGGAAACGAAACTTTGAGACAAAACAAACCACTTTTCATCATCATCATCATCATCATCATCATCATCATCTCCATTATACCCAGTAATCTTGTACAACACAACACAACGCTGAACTTCACACATACATACATCAGAAACCACCCAGCCACCCACTCACCCACCCACTCAATAAATCATCAAATGAAACCCCGATAACAATAACAATCAATCAAAGCACCTATCTACCTACCTACTTATTAGCTACTCCACACCCAGTACCCAGTATCCAATAATAGTAGCGAGTTCATCACCCGCCCGGTATGGTACGGCATGACATGACATAGCACGGCAGAGCACGTATGGTATACTTATTTATCAAGATAGGTAGGTAGATATCTGTATATCTTTCCAAACATCTTTATCTATCGATATATCTCTCATACATACAGCATCCATCATACCAAGCTTCCAAGCTTCCCTCCCCCCTCCCAACCCACCAATCCAACCTCCCAACCTCGCCTCCCAATCCGATCCAATCCAATCCAATCCAAATCAATCCAAAGCGAACCAAGAATATATTTTTCCTGGAATAGAAAAATTCGCTTATATCATATATATCGGGTGTAGATATACTTCCAGCTACCTCCAGCTATCTACTTCCAGCTATCTACCACCAGCTACACATTTCCAACTACATACCTAGATATATACTATACTAATAACTAACTACTCTGTATACTCTACAGCAATAGTAGTATCTAAATAGATGTTGTAATCATGAGATGCGATCGGATGAGATGTAATGAGATGTAATGAGATATATAACCTCAAGCCTACTCTACCCTCTACCTACCCTCTATTCTATCTACGTTATAAAAGATTGTAAAAAATATCTATATAGGAAAGATATAAAGTAGATAGATAGATATATAGAGTATGTATAGAATACTACTCGAATATTTATTATTCACTCATTCATTCATTCATCCATCCATCCACTCACTCACTCACTCACTCAGCACCCCAAGACCCCAAGAGAACCCCCAAGAGAAACCACAAGGCCCAAGAAAAAATCCTACAAACCCCAAGGAAAAAAAAAATCAAGGAACACTAATAAGAATGAGAATGAGAATTGTAAGAATCCTACGATAAGATATTCATGGGATGAATTTTTGTCTTCTATTTATTGATTTACTTCATTTGTAAATTGATTTTTTTCATGTTCTATCTATTTATATATCTCCTTGATTATTATTTATCTATCTATTGATTGGTATATAGACACCCACCCACCCACCTACCTACCTACCTACCTGATCATGTCAATCTCCATCTCCATCTCCATCGGTATCCAAGCAAGCCAAGTTTCATCCAAGTATATCCAAGGATATCCAAGGTAATAGGTAAACAAGCAGACAAGAAATTCAGTTCTTGGAGTACAGCACGGCATGATATGATATGGTACGGTAGGTATATATAGTAAGGTATTCATTCTGTGGACTTGCTTGCTTGCTTGGAGATTTGTAGTGAGTGTAATTAATATTGGTATTTACGATGAATGATAATGTTAGGTATTTATTATGGAGTGAGATAGATAGGCTCAAAGTAGGTAAATATGAAACGCGACTAAATCAAACAGTTTGTTGATCTTCATCTATGAGAGATGATTCAAAATCTCGTTGTTTCTTTCTTTCTTTCTTTCTTTCTTTCTTTCATTCTTTATTATTCATGTGAAATTTCGAATTTTCAATTTTGAATGTATTTGAGTCGCATGTACCTACCTAGCTGGTTAAGTAGTTTGTGTATAAGAATAGAAATCCGCTTCTAGAAGCCATAGAATATTAATCCTTTGATATTATGGCATATCAGCTCAAATCAAAATTAAATGATGGAGTAATCAATACGACCCATAAAATCAGCTGTTACCTCGTATCAGAGAAGTTAGAAAATCAAACCCCTTTGAAGATCGGAGGACGGAAAGGAAATGAACATGTAACATGTAACGTCAATCCTTTGCGGGAAGGAATCGGCAATTCGTTTATTGGAATTGGGGATTCGGGAGAAGGAGTAGGGATTGGAGTGGTTGGGTTGGGTTGGATGTGGAAGGAATATATATCGTAATCATTTTGTTGTAGGTTGTAATCAGGAATTTACGCGCTGAGAAGTATCATTTTGAATAACACAACCAACAGATAGGTACTGGAAGTGACCTTGATTTGATGTGTTATATTTGGCCTGTAGGAATTGTTTGTTAGTTGTTGGGGTCAAGTAGGATTATAAGTTTGTTGGTTGATTGATTTGTGGTTGAATTTGAGGAGTGAAATGATGATTGCCTTGTGGTGGGTTGATTTTGAGGTTTGGATGGATGGAGATGGGGATGGAGATGGAGATGAAATTGGAGATGAAATTGGAGATGAAATTGGAGATGAAATTGGAGATGAAATTGGAGATGAAATTGGAGATGAAATTGGAGATGAAATTGGAGAAGATGATTATCATTATGATTTGATGATGGAATGTTTGAGAATTGAGAATTTCAGAGTCAGGATGTGGATACCGAGTATGAGAGTGGAGACCCAATTCGAGTTGAATCGTTTGATGATTGATGATTTGATCTTGGATCCCGATGCGCTCTGCTTCTTTTCTTGGGGAATTATGGAGAGAAGAGAGAGAGAGAGAGAGAGAGAGAGAGTGTGTGTGTGTGTGTGGATTGGAGTGGAGATGAAAAGAATGGAGTCGTGTTTTATGTTTAGTTTGAAATTGAGTGATTGGAGTGATTGTTTGGTTATGATGATGATGATGATTGTTGTGATGATGATGTTCAATGCTTTGGGGGGGGGAGGCCAGATGGTTTGATGATGATGTGATGTTGTATGATTTGAGATGAAAGTTCGATTGATGAATGTGAATGGGAAGATGATGGTGACGATGAAGATAATGGCGATGATGGTGATGATGGTGATGATGTTGATGTTGATGTTGATATCTTTTGATAGATGATATGATATATTTAGAGAGGAATGAAACAATTGTATTTACCTAGTAGTCAATACCGTATATCATCAATACGAGAGATGGATTGATGAGTAATAATAAGTTAAGTTACTTTTGTTATAGATTATCAAAATAATCAATCAACTAACTACTACCTAGGTAGGTAATAAAACCATGATAATGAATACATACATCAATATAGAATTAAATTTAAGCTTCAATTCCAAAAGCGAGGCACGGAAGTATTGAGGCAGTGCTCATTCATTACATGAATTAGTTGTAAGATAACGAGAGACATCTTCTCACATCTTTTTACTCCGTATACCTCTCTCTACCTACTTCTCTACTTCGTACATAATAAATACTTTTTCACGCTTCACTCTCTCCCGTACGTACCCTCGTACCCATCTCTCAAAATAAACCTCAACCTCAACACGAGCCTTTCCCGACCCAGCTGTCCAATCAAAGTAAAGTGAAGTGATGATTGGCTGTAAATAATCCTGGCGCGTTATAAAGTTCGGACCCATTGAATAACTTTAAACCTTGAATGCCAAGCGTAAACTCCTGATTATCACTATGATCGGGAAAGATCTATACTTCATTGGGATTAGCGTCTCTCAAAAAGTATGGAAGGTATGGCCTTCGAACTTCGAACTTCGAATGGGAACGAATCCAAGCCCTGTTGCACATTTGTAGGTTCAGAAGTAGGTAATTAGGTAATCTTGGCTACGAATTATTCCAGATCTTCTGGACACATCCCTTTTTAAAACTCTCTTCTCTGTCTCTCTCTTTCCATTCTCTTTTCTTCTTCCATTAATACATCAACCCTTTCTTCTCCAACCTCTCCAACCTTCTTCCATTTACTTTTTGGCACTGTCGTTCGTTGTAGTTGCCATTTTCTTAACAATCTTCTAATTGGATCCTTCTTGAACTGCTTCTCACTCACTTTGGAGCATTCACCAAATCTTTTACACTTGTAACCATTTTTCCCTTGACCTCACTCGATTTCTCTTGACCGTCAACTTCTTTCGTATCTCTCCAACACTTCGACATCGAATCCATTCAAAAGATTAAATTCAAAATGAAGACTTTCAACACAATCGCTACTTTGGCCGCTGCTGGCTCTGCTTTGGCTGCTCCATCTCCAGTGGAGAATTTGGCACCAAGAGCTTCATCTTCATCTCTTACTGCCATCACAACCAAGGGGAATGGTAAGATTGTGTGGATTCCATGGACTCGAGATCAATTTACTAATCTGCCATAGCTTTCTTCGCTGGTAACGACAGATTTTACATCCGTGGAGTCGATTATCAACCAGGAGGATCTTCCAAAATCATTGACCCTATTGCCGACAAGTCCACTTGCACCCGTGACATTGCAAAGTTCAAGGAACTCGGTATCAACACTGTTCGTGTTTACTCCGTTGACAACACTGCCAACCACGATGACTGTATGACGGCTTTGGCCGATGCAGGAATTTACTTGGTTCTCGATGTCAACACACCATTATACTCCCTTAACCGTGCTACCCCAGCTCCTTCTTACAACTCCGTCTACCTCCAGAACATCTTTGCCACCATCGATGCGTTTGCCAACTACACCAACGTCTTGGCATTCTTCTCAGGAAATGAGGTTATCAACGATGACACCACCACCAGTGCTGCTCCATACGTCAAGGCAGTTACCCGTGATATGAGACAATATATCGGAAGCCGTGGATACCGTTCCATCCCAGTCGGTTACTCTGCAGCCGATGTTGATTCCAACAGATTGGAGATGGCTCAATACATGAACTGCGGTACCGATGACGAGCGTAGTGATTTCTTCGCTTTCAACGATTACTCCTGGTGTGATCCATCTTCATTCACAACCTCTGGTTGGGATCAAAAGGTCAAGAACTTCACTGATTATGGACTTCCTATTTTGTAAGTACTCGCTTTCTGATTCAAAAATTCCAAACTAACGCGGTGTAGCCTTTCCGAGTATGGTTGCAACACCAACACCCGTGCATTCGAAGAAGTCAAATCTCTCTACGGCACTGATATGACTGCCGTCTACTCTGGTGGTCTCGTTTACGAATACTCTGAGGAAGGATCCAAGTACGGTCTCGTAAAGATCGATGGCGATACCGTCACCGATAAAGATGATTTCACCGCTCTCAAGTCTGCTTTCGCCGGAACCGCCAACCCAACTGGAGATGGTGGATACAGCTCTACCAACAAGGCTTCTGACTGCCCAGCTCAATCATCTACCTGGAACGTTACCTCTAATGCTCTCCCCGCTATCCCATCTGGTGCCGCTGAACTCATGACAAAGGGTGCTGGTAAGGGTGCTGGTTTGACTGGTGCTGGATCCCAAAACGCTGGAGGAACCTCTACCGGAACTGCCTCTGCTGGATCTGGATCAGTCACCGCTGTTGCCAATGGTGCTAGCTCTGCTACTGGTACTACCAAGGCCAGTGCAGGTAACTCATTGAGCCCAATGGATAAGACCCCAATGATCCTTGGTGGATTGATTGCTAGTTTGACCTTTGTCGGTGCCGCACTTTTGTAGATTTAAGGTGGTGTGTATAATTTAATGGTTGGGATGGATGCATAAGATTAAGGTGAAGTTGGATTGGATTGTATGTTTCGAATCAGAAATTAAGTTTTTAGAGAAGTTGATAAATTGAGAGGATAACATATGGTCAGTCGTAGTATGATTGGTACCTTTACTCTTCTACATGATGGATGGGATAAAAGAATGTAAAACAAATTCTAAACAAAACACTTTATATTTCCTTTGTTTTCTATTGTTTTGGGGTTCTTGGTTTGTGTTTGTGTGCTTTTTTGTTTTGGATTGTATGGTAATTATATTTACTTTTTTGAATCTTGAATCTTGAAGTGAGAAGAAACGATATTTATTACTCTGGCTGGGGGATATAAGCCTCAATGACAACAGTAACAGTAGCAACAAACTTAAACTCAAATCCAACTTTGAGATAGAATCTAATGAAAGACTCTCATTGCTGGCGGAAAAGCAGGAAAGTAGTAAAGATGCTAGATGGTGAGTGAAGTCTAGGTAGGTTAGATAGATAAATGATTCAAAAAAGGAGAGGGTTCTTTTGATTGGAAGTTGGGGGAATGTTGATGGGGTTGGATGTGATGAGGATGTGAGGGTTTGATGAGAGGGGAAGGGGAAGGGAAGGAGAAGGGAAGGGAGTTTTTATTTTATTTTTTTGATTGTTTGGGTTTGTGGATGCTTTTGTTTTTTATTTTCAAGGTTAGTTTGTTTGTATTGTTTTATTTTATTGGGAGAGATGGGATGGGATGGGATGGGATGAGATGAGATAGAAGGGAGGGTTAGGTTTATATAAAAAAGAGCTTTATATTGGATGTGTATACTGCGTGGAGTTGTTGATGTATTTGTTGGTTTGTTGGTTGATTTGTTGGCTGGGTGATTTGTTTGTATTTTTTAAGATGTAGAGTTTGAAAGGAAGTTGGGGGGCCGGTGGAGAGGTAGAGATAGGCAGAGATAGGCAGGTAGAGAGAAGTTGAGATAGAGGGAGAGGGCTGTTGTGAAGGGGGGAGAGGGGAGATGGGGATGGGGATGCGGATGCGGATGAATGGAGGGGTGGGATGAAATAGAGGGTTGGGATGGAATTATGTGAGCTAGGTCTTGTTTCTAGGATTTGATATTTGATATTTGCTTCAGATTAGGTAGCTAGGTAGGTAGGTAAGTAGGTAGGTAGGTAGGTAGGTAGGTAGGTAGATAGGTAGGTAGGTAGATAGGTGGGTATGTGTGATGATTTATATCTCGTGAGAAAAGAGAAAAGAGAAGAGAGGTTGTGGATAATCCTCATTTGCGAAAAACGTATGGTCTGACTGTATATTTATGTATGTGTGTGTGTGTGTGTGATATGCATTTCTGTATGTGTATTTAATATGCATTCTGCGCAGTGGAAATTCGAGTTATGGATTCGTTTAATCTTGATTCTTTAATAGTAATGATTTTCTGTGTGTATTCTTGTGGTTTGTTGGGTTCGGGTTTGGGAAATGGTTTATGTGAATAAATGAGGGAGGATATTTCTGAGGGGGAGCGGGAGGGGGAGGGAAAGAGAAAGAGGGAGAAGGGGAAAGAGGAGGAGGTTTGGGATAGAAGGGAGTTTGGAGGTGAGAGATGAGGAGGAGGGGCGTGAGGACGAGGGCAGGGGAAGGAGGAAGAATTTTTTAGATGAATAGGTTTACAGAATATGTTGGTTGGAGAAGGATTTGAAAAATGCGAATTGAGGTGGTTTTTTTTAGGAGGGGGGTTGTGATTCTGGGTGTGGTTTGAGTAAGGGTGAGGGAGATGTTAATGAAATTGAGCAAGAGGGGAAGGGAGAGGAAGGGGGAGATAGATGAGAGAAAAATGTTATTCGAGGTGAAGAATACCCAAGAAGGAGAAGGAAATGAAGAGGTGGGAGATTGAAGATAGAAGAACTGAGGGATTGTAGCTTCTTTTTCTGGAGATAGTAAGGGAGGGGAGAGGAGGGATAATATCGATTTAGGGGGTATTGTGTTATGCTATTTGTATCGCTATTTGTATCGCTATTTTTATTGTTATTGCAATTGTTATGTTGAATCAGATTATAATAGCGGAATGAATATCACCTTTTGGGTATATGAATGTACGTACAAAACTAAAAACCAAAAATAAAAATAAAGAAGAGATGAAGGGAGTATAATTGATTATATTTTCGAAAAATAAGCGAGAGATGGACTCTTCTTTCTCTAAATCGTCTATCTATCGAGGTGTAGGAAGTGAAGAGGAGTTTTGCCTTTTGATAGGTACCTAGGTATGTGGGTAGTTATTAGTTGAGTGACTATTCGCAGAATTTATCAGTTACAAGTGACGAGGTGATTAGATGTGAGAATGACAATGAGATTGTAGAGCTAGATGTGTTTTTGAATGCAAAATAAGAAGAACAAATATCACATGGAGATTCAATAAAATCATAACGTGTTTTATCACCGAGTGA